AAAAAAAAAAAAAGCCTAGACACTTGAGAACTATGGCTGGCTGGAACCATAGATACAAATATACATACATATAAGATTTACATTTTGGTTATATAAATGACCAAATACATATATTTCTCAGACACTAACTCTTCCTAATATATCCTTTTATATGGTAGAATATCTTACTGCACACATGCTTTACTGTCATTAAAAAGACGTCATGTCTAAATTATGCTTACCCTGTTTGTTGCATGCAGACAGGCAAAAGCAGAAGAAGCACAGAAGCCTTTAGACGTCACTGGCAGGGGTCCAGCTGAGAAGTGGTGGCATGACCTGTGGGGTTAGTAATGGAGATGGAGAGAAGTGGGTGGATGCGAGACAGAGCCAGCAGGACATACTCCATGCTGACATTCCCTACCCCTGGCACTTAGGAAAGCTTTGTGCAACAGAGGTCAGAACTGGCGTTACTCAGCTTGACTCCAACTGCTCTAACATCTTTATGGCGGGAAGGGTTCTTGGGCTCCTTCCAGGAGCTGAAAGTCTCAGAATTCCAGTGACTGACTAATGCATCACAATATGAAGGACATAGTGTGGACGCGAGCCCATTGCATATCATCATGCTACAGTTAGAAGTGATTTTTAATGACTGTCAAAACAGTTGCCTGCATACGTCTTCTCATTTCTCAATGGAATTTGCTTTCTTTGCAGAGAGATGCCAAGGGCCAGTACCTGTTTGACCTCCTTTGCCACCACCTGAACCTACTTGAGAAAGACTATTTTGGGATCCGCTTTGTGGACCCAGATAAGCAGCGGGTAAGTCAATATTCAAAATGTACATGGAGGACAGGGTCATTCAAGCCTGAAGCTCTTAGCTGCCACATATGTACAGAGTTTAGCTTTAGGAGTCAGGGACCAACCTGACGCTGCAGTTTGGTGACATCACTTCGCATCACATTATTAGATCTGGAAGGCACCTTGACAGAGCTCACTCATCCTTTTACAAATGCTGAAACAGCAGCCTGAAGTCGCTCAGTTGAAGGCAGAGCTGTGCTTGTCTCAGCCCAGGTCACTGGTTGCCCCTCTGCTGCCCCCTCGCAGCCACATTGTTCTGCTTGGCGACCACACCATCCCTGTCTGGCAGGACACAGAGCATCATGTTGAGGCAGGCCTTTCTGCTCCTCACAAGTCCGTGATTCTTGGGTACCTAAGACAGCATGGGTACTTCTGAGATTTGACATTGACACAGGTATTGACAAGGACTATGATGTTCTAGACAGACAAGTTCATTATCACCAGACCCCTGCATACCTCTCTACCTTGGTCTCCCCTGATCTGGCTCCTCCCCTCTGTGACCCAGAGAGTACTTGGCTCTCCAGACATGCCACCACCCTTCTCTCATCTCAGAGCCTTCACCTACTCAGCTCTTCCTGCCGGGAACATTTCTTCTCCCTTTCCTTGCTTCCCCATACTACACACACACTTTCTGGCTAACTCCCCCTCATCTTTGTTCTCACCTGTCGTCTCAGTTCAGACTATTTTCCAGAAAGTCTTTCTCAGCCACCACTCTGCATGAAGTGCCCTCCTCTGCTTCAGGGGCTCTATACTACCCCTGTTGTGACACCAGTTGCATCACATGGTGATGGCCTGTTTAATTACCTGTGTTCCCCACAAAACATTAAATCTGTAAAGACATAGACTTTATGTCCTTCATCACTCTATCTTATGGGGCTAGCACAGGACGTGGAATGTAGTGGATGTTCAAAAAATATTTACTAAAGGAATGATGAGGTATGTCAGTGGTTTACAGTGCCAAATTTCTTCCCTCTCCTTGTCCAGCCCGCAGACACCTGAAGTTTCTGTAACTGCTGCTCATCAGCTTTGCTGCCTGTGGGTCTACATACTCCCTGGCATCCCATCAAAGTGGGCAACTGTGAGGAAGTAGCTGCCCCTCAGTACCTCCCTTCCCTATATGCCTGTCCACCAACCATTCTAGGCTGCCCCTCCAAAAAGATTATCCCCACATACCCCAGAGAGCCCCCCTTTCCTGAGTTCACTGACTTTCTCCACAGCTGCAAGCATGAGCTTCACCTTGGCACTTAGGAGCACAGCTGCCCAGCAGGGTCGGGCCCTCACCATGACAGCAAGCGCTGGCTTGTTCCTGTGTGTTCTGAGCCACCATGTCCCAGGTCACATTTAGGGTTTGATGTCAAACTTAGGAGCTTAGGAAAGAAAAAGACTATATCCCCCACTTGCCTTCAACAAGCCCTGTTTAATTACCACCTTAGTAACATATTTCATTCCTCTTGGCTCAGCAGAATTTTGAGCATCATTAGTGTTTGGAAACTAGTTCTGGATCAGTCCTCCCCCCGATTAAGGCTCTACTCTTTCAACATCAATACTATCCTCAGCTCTGAACCCCATTATAAGACCCCCCCCCAAAAGTGCAGTGACTCACATGCTATAGGTGTCATTCACTCTGGAATGATGGACTATTTTAAAAAAGGGCTTTTTGGCTGATGCTGTTTGTTATTGGAGTGAGAAAGGGCAGGGTCTCAGCTCTTTCTCCTTGAGATGGAAGACTGCCAGCCCCAAGGTCTCGTTATCTCCCAGAAAACATCATACATGAAAAAGGCAAAAACCGAGAAACATCTAGGAACCCCATTAGTTTTCATTAATTTTTAGTCAGAATGTGCTGGAGAAGAAGAGCGCATGTGGATTTAAATTATTTATTCTATAAATTTTAATCCATAAAATTTAGGGGGAGCAAAGAGCCACAAAGGGGGGACTCCTGCCCCAACCTATAACCCCACAAAGATTAAAAGCAGAAGGAAACATAAGGAAATGGAGGAAAGGAGAAATGAACATTTATGTCATGTGGCCATGTGCCCGGCTCTGAGAGCTGCACACTTGTACTTTATAGGATCTGAAGAGAAACCATAAGCCTATGCTATTTAATCCTTACTACAAATGAGATACATAGCCATAATATGTATTCTCCAGATGAGTAAAGGAAATCTCAGATAGGTTCATTAACTTTCACAAGGTAAGTGGCAAAGTTAGCCTCCAGCCCACACCTGACTTGAGAGCCTTGGTAGTTTCTAAGGTTCACTGCTGCATTCCTACCTGGTCAACTCTAAAGTTAACTAAGGGGTTATTGTGGGGTTAAGAACAGGGAGGCTTGAGAGGATATGTGAGAGTTGAGCAAGACGGATCTACAGAGGATTGTCCTAAATCTACTGATTCATAGTAGAGGAGTAAGGTTTGGAGGCTCCTCAGTCCTTGACTATGGCCATGAAGGATTTCAAAGCCACATCTTTTACAGAAGCAAAAGCAAAGTTTATTTAGACACAGAAGGAACGTTCCTCCAGGGAGAGGTCCCAGGCAGACAATCCAGGGAAGAACAACTGTGAGGAAAGACAGGGGACTCCTGGCCTCAGTTGGGTATAGGAGACTGCTCACTCCATCCCTGCCTGAGGTGAGTGCACAGACTCTCACAGGACTTTCGTTTCTCAGTCCAGACAGCAGTTTCTAAGTCTCCCCCCTCCCTAGTTATAGTTTTATCAGCCCCAGCAGTAGGTTGGGGCAGGAGTCGCCCCTTTGCAGCTCTTTGCTCCCCTCAGATTTTATCAGCCTACCTGCCTGGGTTCTTCTGGGCATTTCTTGGCTCTCCCCAGACTTTATTGGCTCTGGCCAATGTTTCCTGGGGTTGTGGGTATATTTATTCTTCTTTTAGGTTTTGCCCTCCCTGCTCTGCCTAATATGCCCAGACCTTAAAACATTACCTCCTCCCTGGGATAGCGGCTGGTCTGAACCCAGCCCCACGGCCCATGTCCATCCCCACATCTCTGCTTGCTCAGTGTGTGTGTGGGGGGCAAGGCGGTGTCTTGATAGGGTCTGGGAACTATCCTGGCGTCCCTCCAAGCAAAGCTGCCTTACTCTCCGCCCCACCCCACCCCCAATCCTGGCCCAGGCCCAGGGTCTCAGCCGGCTTTCAGCCTCTTCTTTGTACCCTTTCAGTCCCACAATCTGAAAATGGTGCCATGTTGGCCATTTACACAAACACAGGAGGAAACTCCCCTCTCTGAATCACTTTCTCTTCTCCTGACCCCTCTTCCCTAACCCTGTGTTAGCAGTTTGCTAGGGATTCTGGGATCCAGATTTTGTCAGCTGCATGAGGTAATACTAGATGCACTATATTCATGGGATTCTCTCAAGATTCCTTTACTTGGCCCTTTATATTTCTTGGACAAGCTGTGACAGTTTCCTACTCCCTTTCCACCCCCTTGTAATCTCTTCCAGCCTCACTCCTTTCTGAGCTTTCACCAGTCTATAAACTAATGTCTTCTCAGTAGTTATTGCCAAGGGGAATAGCCTTTTTGTCATTCAGCTCCATCTGCCTTCTGCTAATAATGGATCTCACAGTCATCCCTCTTAGTTTTTATCTTCGTTTATTTATTTTAATGTAGCAGTTACATGTCTAGGTGTTCTCTTTACTGAGTCTCGGATCCTTGCTGTTTTCTCCTCACTGTACACAGCCCAGTGTACAGTGGACACTGGACAGGCCTCCTCAACCTCAGAGGCTCAGCCTGGAACCACAGTCGTTTCCGTACAATTTCATCACAGGTCTTTGCTTCCCTGTGAAGCCAAGCCGCGGTGGGCCGTGTAATGTGAGAAGAACCTCTTAGCCACATTGAGTGGCTATAATGAGCTGCAAGCCTCGTGGGAACTTAGATCAGAGGAAGCAAGAGAGCAGAATGTCAGCCCAGATTATCCATGTGGAGCTGATGGAAGAACTGGCTCTTAGTGGGTCCATTAGCTGCGTGACCCACGGCCCAGCCCAGAAGGTGAGAGCTGGGAATCAAGGGAGGCCAGGATGCTGTCTGCATGGCTCTGGCTGCTTTCCTGCCAGAGGAAGGGCCCTGCCAAGATGGTACACTAAGTGTAAGTAACCAGAAGAGAGGGAGGTGTGGCACCAGTGCCTTCTTCCGCTTAACAGTTGCTCACTGGACCCTGGACGAGACACGGGTGACACAGCAGGGACCAGACTTCATGCTCAGCCCTTGCACACCTTATATCTAGTAGATTGGTGTAATCGCCAAATGATCAAACCCCACATTAACAGCAGTTCTAGCTCTCTGTACATTGTCAAGGTTGCTGACTAGCATAAAAGGAGTGATTATCAGTCATGAATTTTATGAAATGAACTAGAAGATAGACATGGAAGTGTCTCATTCCATCCTTCCCCCAAACAATACCATGCAAAAATTGTTTTGCTACTATATATGCCTCTAGGAAAACCCAAGGGAAAGAGGATGCCATCCTCCGGATTGGTCGTGGTAAGTTAGCTTAGGAGAGGTGTTAAGCATCCCTGGGTCCAAAGGTGTATCAAAAGGATTGGCACTTAATCTCACTCAAAGCTTAGGATATACCTCAGGCCATCTCTGACTTTTCAGGAAGCAATATATGAAGTTCTACCTGACAATACTTCCTAGGGCTGCTATAAGTAGTCTCTGTCCCCATCCTCCTGCCAGAAAAAAAGTGGACAAGTAGTACAAATCCATGCAGCCCATTAAAATCAGTATTTGCCTTATATACCAGAGACATTTTATGGGGGTGGAGTGGGGAATGGGATCAAAAATGGTGGAGGGAGGGAAGTGAACAGGACTATGGTGATGGCGCAAGGGTGATTTGGAGATGGGAAGCCCACAGCGATTACAACTGAGATGGGAAAAAGGCATAAAATGATGAAAAAATAAACTATTATATTATTTAAAAAAAAAAAAACTTCAGTATTTGCCTAGTCAAGCCAAGTGGGGCTTTGTCCCCTTCACACAGGTATATATTCTCTTGTGCCTACTGCTATGCTGGAAACATGGCTCAGGGCTTGGCACCTGCCTTGGAAGAGGAGGCATTGCCAGGAAGCCCACAAATGGCATCTGAAACTGGAACTCTTCCCCCTTCACAGCTGGCTCCAAGGGAGGTTACTTAGTAAAGCGTATTACTCTTTCCTCTCCAAACCTACATATCACAAGCTTTTGGACTGCTTTCACCCTGGGCTGCAATCTGTCTAGTTATTGAAATTGGATGAGACTATTTATATTTGACACCACTTCTCATTAGGGTTTTCTTGTTCTGTGTGCTCTGTTTCAGCATTGGTTGGAGTTTACAAAATCTGTGGTGAAGCAATTGCGGTGTAAGTATTCTCTGAAACACTGAAGCCTCCTTTTAGAGTGAGTGGGGTGAGTCCTCCCAGTTGTTTCAAGTCTGGGTGATTTTCTGCTGTGTTCAGTATAAGTTAGCCCTAAACATGTGAGGATTTTCTTCAGATAGTCCAGAGACCTGTGCATCCTGAGGGGGAGGGAGTGCAGTCATTCTGTGGGGGGGAGCTCCCCTCACGGACACCTCTTTTTCTCTGCAGCCCAGCCTCCATTTACCATGTGTTTCCGTGTGAAGTTTTACCCTGCAGACCCTGCTGCCCTGAAAGAAGAAATAACCAGGTGAGGCTGAACACGCTTCTCTGAGCAACTAAGACCAAACCTCGTAGAGCCTCTGCTTTAGAAGCCCCTAACTCATAAACAAGGATTTTTTCCGAAACATAACCTCCTTCCGTATTTCATCCACGTTCTTTCTTTGCTCCCCCTCCCAGTAGAATTGAGATATAGTGAGCTTCTTTCCATCAAGAAATATGAAGACAAACTGGTCACTCACAAAGGGATCTGGAGTAACTAATTAATCAGAAAGCCCCTTTTCCAATCACTTACGATGTAGCCACTGTGGATGTTCTGGAGAGGTCTGTGTTGCTGCTTATTTTGGGGCCTGGAAACAGACTCTGGTGGCCCAATGTACTTGAGGGATGCCAAAGCATGACACTGAAAGACAAGCTGGAAAATACTGAAGATTTTAAATCCAAGTGGGTAAACTCCAGTGTGCTGCTGGATGAGGTCCGTGATAAACTCTTTATTGTGGGGATCATGCTCTGTGGCAGGCAGTCAGCTGCAGAGAATGAACCCTATCTTATCCAGCACCACTTGAGGATGAGAGAGAACCTCTATGACTGCAAACATTCTGCAAGAGGGTCCATGAATAGGAGCCTCAAAGCTTCCCCGGCTTTTGTATATCTGAGCCAAATTCCTTCTATAAAAGCCTGCCTCAGAGATGCAGGAACAAGAAACCTTAATTTTTATATCAGAAAGATACAATTTTAACATAAGTAAAACCTTGATCTTCCCTTATAGAGGGAAGTGAGGCAGACCTAACTGTTAAGCAGCTAATTTCTGAGCAATGCGAGACAAAGCCAGTCCAGTCACTGTCCAGGCTCTGTCAAGGGACCTGCTTCACCAATTCAGCAAACGCCAAGGACAATGACAGGAGTGTGAGCTCCTCCTTGCTCTGCATGATCTGTGCTGGAACCAGCCTCTTCTCGTTCCCTCTCACTGTCCACCTCAGCAGCTCCCCGTCCCTGGAGTGCCATCTCTGAGTGTTGTCTGGAGTGGGAGCCACAGGGCTGCAGGGCCTGATTTGGAGTCTTTGTGCTTCCCCTTCCTGAGGCATTCTGTGGAGGTCATGGAATCTTTCTCCTCATGCACATCCCTGCTGATCTTAAGAGTGGGTACCTGCCCCAGCTGCACTTAGTACCCATAATTCATTCCTGGCTCAGAGCCGCCACTCCACCTTCCTGCCAAACTAATTTAGCTGTCAATGTTTTTTCCTAGCAATATGAGTCCTAAATTTCACTGCCATCTCAGCCATTCCCATAAAGCTGGGCTGAGAGGAGGGGACGAGGTAAAGAACTGTGCTTCAATTTATCTCTTGGACTCTTTCCAGATGATAAATTTAGTTGCCAAATCCTGATTAATCTCTTTTGTCATTTTTTTAAGTAATAAATAGATTTCCTTGTCTGAGCTAGAGACAAGACAGAGAAAATGGGGATTAGGCACCAGATTTAGCTTTTAACAGGGACTGCAGGTGTATAAACTCTTTGGAAAGATCAAGTAACCGAAGGAGATTGAGTATAAATGGGGCCCTATCTTGCAAGGAAGCAATTGTCTGACACATGTTTGAGCAGGTGCTCAAAAAAAAACAGAAAGAAAAGAAAATGTTAATAGAATGAATGCATGTATGCCCGAGAGAATGGAGATTTTAGGCCATTTATTCCTTTGATGAATATCACTTGAACTTTCCTTAGGCTAAGATGGGTTGGCAAACTGTTCACATAGAAGGACAGATAGTAACTATTTTAAGCCTTGTGGGACATATGGTCTCTGCGGCAACTACTCATTTCTGCCATTGTCATGCAAAAGCAGTCATAGATGATGCACAAATGAATGAGCATGGCTGTGTACCAGTAAAATTTTACTTCATTGGAAACTGTAGTGGCAGGCTATCATTTGCCAATCCCAGACTAAAGAATCCAAAAGACCTGGGTTCAAATCCCAGGTTATTCTTTAACTAGCTATCTGACAAGGCAAACAATGTTTTTCTCATCTTTCACTTTCGTCATCTGTGAGACAGGGAGAAATATAGTAGTTATAGAGTTGTAGGGAGGAATAAAGGAGAGAAGGTGTGTTAAATAATACCATGTGTGGAGCAGCATGCGCTTAGTAAATCGTTCTCATTATTCTGTATTATCTCTTCCCACTGGAATGGGAAGCTCCAGAAGACATTGTTTTTGTTCCCCACTGTGTTCCCTGCACCTGTGGCAGTGCTGGCACACATAATAAGTGCCCGGGACTCAGTGGATGGATGAGTAGGTGAGGTAGGTACAGGATCCAGAGGCTCTCTAGAAGAATATGAAAAGTAAATGATACAAAACCTGACTTCAAGGAGCTTGCAGGAAGACATATTAAACATTATTACAGTCAGGGAAAAGGATGGTAGAAAATAGAGGAAACTGAGGCAAAAAAAAAATCTGAAAAGAGGGGGAGGGGCAAGGAATCTTCTTGAAGAACCTCTTTAGCAGTCAAGACTTTCCAGAGCTCCAGCCTTTAATTCTGGAAATATCTGGATTCATCGCCACCCTCTGATCTCAGAAAACACAATGCCAAGGAAAATACCTTGGAGACCTGTTAATCACGCTCAGGTTTTCTTTGGCCTTCCTTCAGGTGCTCTCCTACTACCTTTTGGATGATCCTGCTTTATACTTACATCGGTTGAGGCCCACACTAGCATTGAAACAAAATGGGGGTATAGTAAAGTCTCATTGAAATCAGAAAGAGATAAGTAATGTTAAAAAAATATTTCAAGTGTCCCAAGGAACAGCCTGTCTTAAATCTGGTCTCAACCTGGCGTCTTGCTTGGGTTCCCATGGAGACTTCTTTCTGATGGCAAAGAATCTCTTGACTTTTTTAGGACCCTTTCTCTCTAGCTTGATAACAAACAATTACCATGGAGAGAAGGAAAAACAGCAGGCCTGGACTCAGGAGACCTTGATACTGACACTTCACTGCACCTCTCTAGACTTCTCTTTCCTCAGCTATAAAACAAGAGAATTAGGTTCTGTAGCTCCTCTACTTATCCTCTCCCCCTTTGCTTCTCTCAACCTCTTGCCCGAACCTCCCCCTCTCAGCTATGTGACATTTCACTGTGAGAAACTGTGAAGACAAACTTGATTTGGTAGCGCCATCTTAGTTCATGATCTTTTTCCTTAGCAAACATTGAGGGCAGAGTGGGGTTCATGGTGGTGGATGAAGTGACAGGGGAGTTCTTATTAACTTAGATTGTAGTACTCACCTGCCCGTTCTGATGCAATTAGAAGGATGCTTTAAGACAGTGCTTCTTATGCTTAACTTATGTACAAATGCAGGTCTCGTTACATGGTTTTGGGGTTCTAGAGAGCTCATTAAAAATGACTGATATAGTCCAGAATAGGCCTAATATTCTCCGTTTCCAGCAAGTTCCCAGGTGCAGCTGTGGGTTACACATAGAATAGCAAAGGCTTTAGAAGGTGAAAAGGTTTGATTGCTCCTTCATTTCTGCCTGCAAGTTGCTTGAATCACCAAGCCCAAGACTCAGAGGCACCCACTGGTCTCCTACCCCACCACCCCCAGAAGATATCCTGTTCTTAGTCTTCTCTCACTTGAGGAAGTTTCACATGATCAAGTGGGCATGGAGTCCTGTTTATTCTTCAGCCTAAAAACAAGCAATGGAAGCCTCTAGTTATCTGGGGAGAGCCCGATTGCCGTAGTTATCAATGACTCTAACAAAACACCACAATATCTCACAATAACAGGCATTAATTATCTCGCAGTTTCTGTGGGTCACAAACTCAGCAGCACCTTAGATGGGTGTTTTTGGCTCAGGGTCTCCCGTGGGGTTGCAGTCAAGAGAAGGATGGGGCTATGGTCACTTGAAGACTCGACTGCAAGGTTCACTTCTCTAATGGTGCCTTCACTGTTAGCAGGAAACACCAATGCCATACTAGCTGTTGGCAAAGGCCTCATTTCCTTATCACTTTCTATAGGGCTGCTTCAGTGTCCCTGAACAGAATGAGTGCTCCAAGAGAAAGAGAGACCAGGAAGAAAATGCAGTGTCATTATGACCCAGTCTCAGATGTCAGACACCATCACTTCTGCTGTATTTTGTTAGAAGCAATTCACTAAATCTGGTTCTCACCCAAAAGGAAGGAATGAAACTCCATCAGTTGCAGTGATGAGTATAATGTGTGGACATATTTTTAAACTACCACACAAACCCTCTTGCTGAGGAGCCAGTGTAGTAGGTTATTAACTCAGGGGGTTGATAGTCTTAGTGGTGGTGTGAGTTTATGAATATAGAGACTCTGCCCCTGTAATACTTCAAAATGGAAAGTCAACGGTTCTATTCCACTGTGTCTGAGACCCAAGTCACTGGAATGACATAGAAGTCACAGTGCAGGAAGGAGAGTATAATTATTACAAGCCAACTTCAGGAGTCCAGCAGGGCTGAATATGTGGGGCTTTTTGTTTTTTTACACTATTATTTGTTCTCCTCTCAGCTGTAATCTCCCTAAAATTACCACCACCAACACACCCATGAACTGTCACCATAGCCTCTTGTATTCTTCCCTCCCCTGTTTTAATCCGCTCCCTCTTCCCACCCCGCCCAGTCACCAGGTAAATGTCTCTGATTTCTACTTTGCCTGCAAATTTTGAATTTTCCCCTGATCCCATATTTGGTTACCTTATCTCCCCCCTATAAATGAAACCATCTGATATTTTTTCTTCCCTTATGACTTGTTTCACTGAGCATAATTCCTTCCAGCTCTATCCATGTTGCTGCAAATGGCATGAATTACCTTTCTGATTGCTGAGTAGTATTCCATGGTATATATATACCACTTCTTGATCCATCCATCCAGTCATCTCTTTTTGAGCATTTAACTTGTTTCCATATCTTAGCTATTGTAAATAGTGCCAAGCAGGGCTGAATTTGAATCCTGACTCTACTACTTACCAGTTGTGTGTCCATTAGAAAAACAATTAAACCTCAGTATGTTAATTTTTTTAAGATTTATTTATTTATGCATACAGAACTGGGGTACAGGCCATAGGTGCAGGGGTGGTGAGAGGATTCACCAGAGACAGAGTGGGGAGCAGAACAGGCAGATCAACAAAGTACACTGCTGAGGGGAGCAGCAGGCTGGTCAGGAGAGGTCTGCCGCGCCATGTGGGTCACCTCCAGGGGCTCAAACTTCTCACTGAAGGAGCTGTGGCTAGCTTGCAGTGCTGTGTCCTAACCCGTTACACCACCAGTGAGGACCCCTCAGTGTATTTTTTTTAAAAAAAGATAATTACAGTGTCTGTCTCAAATTACATTTGAATTAAAGGAGAGCATGCCTGTAAGGAGATGTGATGGGCAAATAGTTAAGTGCTCACTATAGATCACTACTACCAGCTGCTGTGTTGTTGATACCCCCCTGAGTTGAGAGCTTCCTATATTTGAATAGATACTAGCCACAAGTTTCTTTACTTCCTCCACCGGAACCTCTTCAGTGCCTTATTCAAATTCTGAGAGGTCTGGTTGATCTATGTGATAATTTAAGACTGTTTCCATAAATGGACAGATTTTCTTGGCCAGCTGGGGCATAATACTTCCTGGGGCTAGTTCCTTTTCATTCCACCCACCAGCAGAGTCCAAGGTGGAGAGAGACCTCAGTGGCTCAGCTCTTAATGATACAGGTTCCTCTCTCTGCACCGACTGGACAGGGGCTGGCTCTTCTCAGTGCCCAGCACACTGGGAAGACAATGCTTTCCCAACAAATGCCATTTGTTTTGAGCTATAGAAGGAAACTGATGGCTTGTTTTGAGTTGAGCCTCAAATCAGTTCAAGACAAAGTATACGAGAGAGTCTCCAGGGCAAAATGCATTTATTCTATGGTAGGTTTTGAGTGTTGTGTTTTTTTTAATGCAGTAGAAGGGTTCTGACAAAGATTTTATAGGTTTGCATTACCTATATTTATATCTTTAAAGCAATCAGAGAAATCCTTTATAGTTCCCTCTGCTTTCGTTCTAGGTATTTAGTCTTTCTACAGATCAAAAGGGATCTCTACCATGGTCGCCTCCTCTGTAAGACATCAGATGCCGCCTTGTTAGCAGCTTATATCCTTCAAGGTAATGACTTTTGACAGGGATAAATTTGCTTTTCATGCTAATTGCTGATTACATTATTTCTGTTACCATAGATGACTACTTCTTAGATATAAACAGTATCTAACTTGAAGCCAAGTCTTAGAGGTATAAGCCTGAACTCCCTGAACCTAGAAAGCACTAACCACACAGTCTAAACTGGACTTGCTTCTTTCTGCCATCCCCTTTGAGTCATTCTGAGTCTGTCTTGGGGGCATTCCCTGGACCCTTGGTTCAGAAAGTCACTGCGACTCAAGAGTAACCTGAATCAATTTTTTTCCCCTTTCATGCAAATCTCAAAGATGTGAGGCATGTTGGAATTCCAGTATCTCTCAGACCTTTCAGTTCACAGTGCCCAAAATGGAAAATGTTTCCAAGTAATGTTTCCTAACATGCTGATAAGTTGAGTCTGTACCCAGCTGATGCCCAGACTAGCTTTTCAGAGAGTAGCAGAAAAGGAATGCACTGTTCATAGATGATGTTTTCACAGCTATTGGGGTTTCCTAAGTGCCACCGCTAGAGTTTTCTTTGTCCTTAGGCTACTATCACTGGCTTGATCATTTTGGACTATAGCAATAAATTCATGATGTTCTCCTCAAAGAATCTGAACTCTACTTGGAAATCTGTGAATTCCAGGCAGCTAGTTTGTGAAGAGAAACTGAAAAGTGCTTGCCAATAAGAAACTAAAGCTCTTCTGGCAAGAGAAGTATCACAGCTGCATTAAGAATGTGAAAGTCAGCCTATTGCAACTTTGATTCCTGAGACTTCTGTTTTAAAGATCACCTAAATGGAAAGTGTAGAAGGTGCTTCCCTGCTCCAGGGTACCAAACGATGCTCCTTCCATTTTATTCCAGCAATCACATTGAAATGTTTTCTTTTGCCTTTTTTTTCCCCCTCTCCTTTAAAGAAGTATGTGAAGTCCAGCATTCATATCTCCACTTGGAGCTTTCCAAATAAAATCATCATAAATGACTTTGTGGCTCAAGGTCACTCCAGACTCCACACTCAGGGAAACCTTTAGTCTCATGCTAAATGATAGACATTTCCAAGCAATTTGGAAGATGCAATCAGTAGATCTGTGGCATAAGCACAGTATTCAGCTGGGCAAGAAAGGCACATTCAGCCCTCCCTCAAGGCCCATCTGTACTGGTTGTGGCTCTTGCTAGGGAAGCAGAAAGGACAATGACAAAACAGCTAGAACTTCTTATCGTATTTTCTCTTAGCGTCCTGTGTTCCTGATGGACTGCCTGATACAGAGAAAGCTTGGTTCTGACCTGGGAACATGCTGTCGAGAGCACTATGGACCTCTCCCCTCCCCCCTAATTTCCCTTATCTGAGATCTCCAGCCTTAGGAACAGGCCCTCTCTGTGTGGTGGCAGAAGAGGGCTTCCCCACACCATGCCAGAGATCGAGAAGCCCTAGGACCTGGTGTTTCTGTACAGGGCACCAGGTCCTGGTCACAGTCAGTCTTCCCAGTCCACAGTTGTCTCTGAGGGCCCTGCCATCTGGTCAGCCCTCAGTCATTTATTCAAATGTATTGACTTGATTTGAACTGAGAGTTGAGGTCTGAGTTTGGATCATGGCGTATTCATTAATTTGCTGCTAAGTCCCTATGCTTTGCAGACACCCCTAACATGACAGACTACCGTCGGGCTCATGCCCACGGTCTTGTCTTTCTGACTAAGCCCCACGGGGAGCACTGCTCCAGGCCCTCTTCTCAAGGTTGGGGGGGATGAGGACTGCACTGCCGGCTTCTATTCTTTTATTGTAAATTTACTTGTGGCCTCAGAACAGTGGGTCAGCTCTCCGGTCTGACTGCTTATGCTCAATACGATCCCAGGTAAGTGTGTGCCTGAGCCATGCTCCGGACCAACATTCTTTGTAAATCTGGCACGTGCTAGATTGCTCTGTGTGTTAGTCTCTTGTTTTGCCAGTGTTGATCTCCATATCAGTTTGCCTCTGCTTTCCTTTTGCAAGCGGAGATTGGAGACTATGACCCAGGGAAACATCCTGAAGGCTACAGCTCCAAGTTCCAGTTTTTCCCTAAACATTCAGAGAAGCTGGAAAGGAAAATTGCCGAGATTCACAAGATGGAACTCAGGTACGTGCCATTCAGAGCCGTCTCCCCCATAGCCAGCACAGCCGCAGGCCCGTGGGCTCAGCTGCTATGAAGAATGTGGCAGAGGTTTAAAGGTATGAGAATTTGTAAGAAAAACAGAGGACTAGACTCTGAAAGGTATTCATTTCACTAAGATAAATGAAGAGGGAAGAAGCATGAACTGGTAGAAAAAGAAAAAGTATAAAAAGAGAGAAAGAGGATATGTGTGCTACCTTCAGGCAGCAAGATTGACGTGTTGCTCTGGGTGGGCAGCCGGGACTACACAGGTCTGGCCGGACTCAGAAATGCTGTGGTCCTCACATTAGCTTCAGCACTGCCTTACCCGGACCTACAAGCTGCGAAGGGGAAAGGAAAGGAGAAGCAGCTGGAAACTTGGAGATTTGTCCTCCTCAGGAAATGCCAAATCTCATAAAACAGCATTAATACATGTTGTTCACCCATATGAAATAGGACATTCTACAAAAATTGACTTAAAATAAGCAATAGGGTCTTGGGCTCCAGTTTGTGTAACACAATGGAGCAGCTCCCCTAAACTAATAATCCATAAAGAAAACAAGTTACGCACGATCCGTGTTAGAAAAAATATGCTATCACTTTAAATATCACAATTAAAAAATATATATTTTCAAATGGTTGTGTAGCTGCCTTTCTGGGGAAGGATAAACCCAAGGTGGGGTGAGATATTTCTAATGCTTGTATTAAACTAGCTCCGATCCTGGCCCCACTCTTTCATACACAAAAAACCCCACAAAGACCAAAACACTTCACCTTCACTCAAAGATTTTACTAGCACATACGTCCCTGCGGCATCTTTAATCTGTAAACAGACCTCCAGCATACTGTGTATGGGGCAAGGCTGCATCCCACCCTCACCTGGGCAGTGCCCCTTACCCGACTGTCTGCCCACCCTGGGGCTCCTTTCACTCTCGCTAGGGAAGTAGCGGCCCCTTGTGGTCAAAGTCTAAACAGACCTAGAAAGGTTCAGGGTTCATTTAAAGTTTATGTGCTAAGTCAGTGGGAGGCATGGCCAGGAGGATTTGAGGCACTGTCAGAGCAGTGGGGACAGTCCTGCAGAAACCTAATATGACATGGGGGTTCCCCCAGGATATGGTGCCCAGGGGGAGGGCTCTGGAGTTAGGGTCCAAGGTGAATGGAGCCCATGAGATCCACCAGCACCAACAGGGCCTAAGGAAGCAGCTTCTTGGGGCGGCCACCCCTTTGCCCACACACAGGCAGACAGCTTCTCAGTGTCCTGGTGCACTGGTAGGTGGAGAAGTCTGCACTCTGCAGAACCTGCTTACTCCAGGTCAGCCTCTTCTTCAGAATGTGAAAATATGCTTCTCCAACTCCAGCTCAAGTTCCTTGAGAGCCCAGACTGCGCTTTATTTCTTGGTGTATCTTACAGCAGGCAGCACAGAGGCTGGTGTATGATGGTGCTGTTTGATTGATATCTCGCCAGAGTGACACCAGAGTGAATCTCTCCCTGGGTTGACTTATCTTCCTTCCATCACATGAGGCAGATGAACTTAGAAATGAGCAACCTTCAGTCCTGCCCACAGTGATTGTTTTGACTTGACAAAGTGCCCACCTTCCTCCCACTGAATAAGCCCAGTCCTATATCTGAGAGAGCCTGGTGGTTATATTGTCACTGGTTCTGCATTCTGCTAAGGAAGGGAACAATGCTGAAGGCCCTTTCTTCAGATAGCCTGGTCCCAGGGTTGGTTTCTTTTTCTGTTTGTCTCCTTTTCATAGTCCTCACTCTGTGGACACACAGAGCTACTGTGGAGTCTGGGAAGCTCAGAGCTGTCTCTTACTGTGTCTTGTCATCCTTTATTCCTGTGTTTCCTTTTGGTAAAAGAATAGCGGTAGGTGGCACCAGCAAGATACACAGCCCTTTCATTGTATTTCACAGACAAGAAACCCATGGCCTATAGCCAACCTGCAAATTTGTTTTGTTTGCCTGCGTGCTATTTAAAAGTATGAAATACCACATAAAATGAGTATCTCTTGGCCGTCCCTGGTGGCACAGCGGGTTAAAGCACAGCACAAAGAAGCTTAAGCCACTTCCGCATGAGTTCGATTCCCGCTTGCCCCGGAAGTGACCACATGGCGTGGCAGACCTCTCCTGACCCGCCTGCTGCTCCCCTCAGCAGTGTACTTTGTCAACTGGCCTGTTCTGCTCCCACTCTGTCTGGTGAATCATCTCACCGCCCCTCTACCTCTGGCCTGCACCCCAGTTCTGTATGCATAAATAAATCTTTTTTAAAAATCAGTATCTCTTGACTTAGCCTTCAAAATTACTTCTAGCAATGCTGTGCTTTACATTCCACATAGCAATCTCAGAATTAAGGTGCAGCTGCCCTCAGTAGATGGGGTAACATTCACCAGTTTGCCACCTTCCCCACCACCTCTTATTGCTTTACATTTAGCCTATATCATACATTATATAGGTTACCTCAGGGTTTTTGACCCTAGATACAAATCTCTGAAGTTAGAACTAGAACAGAGCAGGGAACACACTCTCTGGAAAAACTGGGATTTTTTCCTCACCCTGGGCACTTTTTTTTTTTTTTAAGATTGATTTTTTATGCATACAGAACTGGGGTACAGGCCAGAGGTGCAGGGGCGGTGAGAAGATTCACAGAGACAGAGTGGAGAGCAGAACAGGCAGATGGACAAAGTACACTGCTGAAGGGAGCAGTGGGCGGGTCAGGAGAGGTCTGCTGCGCCATGTGGTCACCTCCTGGGCAGGGATCAACCTCATACTGAAGTGGCTTTAGCTTCTTAGTGCTGTGCTTTAATCCTCTGCGCCACCAGGAAGGCCCACCCTGAGCCCCGAGCACTTTTTAACAGAGCTTGGCTGAGAGGAACCTATGGGAAACCTTGAACTTTTTTTTTTTTTAATATTGCAGTGGTCAAACACCAGCAACATCAGAACTGAACTTTTTAAGAAAAGCACAGACATTGGAGACATATGGAGTAGACCCTCACCCGTGTAAGGTAAGACCCATGGCTGGAGACTATACTGAATTTGCCTTCTCTAGAGGGCAAAGGTATCAGGGGACCACAAATCGGTGCCCTTCAGATCTGAATGATGGACTCCTATTTTGGTGACAGATGCCAAAGAAAATGTCTCCTTTTGGAAATTCCCCTGGGTGCCATGCTGCATAATTTTATGGTGCCACATCAGTGTCTTAGTCAATCTAAATAACAAAACAGAAACCAGGGCTCTACTTTGGCAGCAGTGGGTAATTTGGTGGAAATGAAGAGAGGAGGAACATGAGAGGCCCCCTACAGGGAATGATCTGAGGCGGCTCGGCAGACTGCCCACCCTTCGCTGACCCGTAATCTAGTTTCTTATAGTGGGTTTTATTGACTCCCACAGCGTAAGTCACCTCACGCAACAAAAATGGAGTCATTTAATTCCATTACGTGCCTGTGAGGGTGAGATAGGAACCAATCGGGGAGGCTCTGCCCAGGAAAAAACCTCTGTTATTACTCACAGTAATCTTGCTTTTTGGAGATGAGTTCAGGCAGCCACCACCCCTGCAGGAAGCATGGGCTCCCCTTGTTTCTCCATGGCCATATCCCTCCACTTTACCTCCCATCCAGTAGCTGACTGGCCTTGGCCTCTGCCTCAGTTGGCCTCTGCCTCAGTTTTTCTTGGCCTCTGGCTCAGTTTTTCTACATGATTCTGTTACCAGAGAGGCCCCAATACCACCAGTAAAACAGACTTTCAGACATCTCCGAGAGAAATCGTGTCCAGTGGGAGTAGGAGAACATTGATCTTTGCTTCCTAAAAGGAGAGGGGGACACACTCAGTTACAACAAAAATTAAAATACTAGAATAAAAGCCCAGAAACCTAGAGAGTGGTGACAGTGTCATTTCCCTTGGCCCCTTGGGGAAACGATGGTGATTTGTTTTGGTGAGGATTTAGTGTAGAAACTTTGAGTTTCTGAGAACAATCTGGCACTCAAAAACCTTGGTCACCTTGCCCAGCTCACAGTTCTCGATCCTCCAGCGCAGCCTACTACCAGTTACAGCCATTTCTTGGGTGGGGGTCAGCACTTTCAGAAACAATCATGCCTGTTTAAACTTAAAAATTGACATGAGTTTTACAAAGAAATTTGCAAAACTTCCTAAATAAAGGCCTCCACATAACAGATATAGTTTAAATGCCACAACTTGCCCAGATACTATTGGCAGGGTCTTCCATAGGACTGGACATAGCTTTGGAGTCAACTCGCCTCCACTCTGTTATGGGGCCTCTACTTACTGGAGCCTTTGGTGACTGCTCCGAGCCTCTTATCTCTTTCCTTATCTGTATGAGTGTCTCCAGTAGGTATGCAATAACTGCTCCCAAAACTGCTAAGTTACTCCAAGACCTTAAAAAACAAAGCTGCCTAAGGCTTTCCCTGGTGGCGCAGTAGGTTAAAGTACAGCACTGAGAAGCTAAAGCCACTTCCGCATGAATTCAATTCCCACCTGCCCTGGAGATGACCACATGGCGTGGCAGACCTCTCCTGACCCGCCCACTGCTCCCCTCAGCAGGGTACTTTGTCAATCTGCCTGTTCTGTTCCCCACTCTGTCTCTGGTGAATCCTCTTCACTGGCCCTGCACCTCTGGAAGCTAGCAGGGCATCCAGACCAAATCCACATGTGCCTCAGACTGTGGCTCCTGGCCCAGCCCCATCTCTGACGAGTTTGTGCATTGTCAGAGAGGCTGAAGAGGCTGCAGGAAGGAACTGTCCTTTCCAGGCACTGTATGAGGTCCAGTCTACATACCTCACAGTATCCTACAGCATCAACTCCTAGACGGAAGGGGGAGGGGCAGGGCGAGATGTTGGTGGCATATGCCTCCCATGGCAGGCTCCCTGGAATCTTTTCACCTTATTTTCTCATTTAACCCTCATTTCAGCTCTGTGAGGTAGATATTGGTCTTCCTGTTTTATAGATAAGACTAAAGTTCCAGGAAGCCGAGTTTACAAGGCCCTGAGTGGTAAAGCAGAAATTTTAACTTAAGTGCCTTGCTGCTATTATGTTCTGTATGCACCAGAAGGCCCCAGGAGACGACCTGTGGGGAGAAGGTGGGTGCAGTCATCTCACTGGGCTTCCACAGTCCCCTGTCCCTGAGCCCTATACTCCACACTCACCCAGGGCCAACTCAGTGCCCTGTTCATGTCATTTTTCTCCAGCTCCTGGCTTCTTCAGCCCTCCTCAGCAAACAGTTTGGGAGCTTTTACTCTTGTCATTAAGTGGAGTCACTTTGGTGACATGCTACCAAGCACTTGCCTTAATGTTGCTACAAGGAGAGCTGAAATAAGCTGGAGCACTCAGTGTAATAAATACTGATGATTCCTATTAACAGAGAGGCAATTACTGGGCCCAGGGAATCTGGGGCATGCAGCCCTAGGGAGGACGGAAGAAGAATCGTTTTGATAATTAAATGAGAGCAGAACAACGCTTCAGCTGGGCTCTGTTCTCCTGAACTGATTAAGAAGATTCTGGTCTTCCTGTCCACACTGATGGTTTCCTTTCTGCCCTTGTGTCCTTGTCTGGCCCGGGGACCAGGAAGAGGAGATCTAGCAAACTTGAAGTTGCACAGCTGTCCTGAGTACTTTGCATCCCCCTCCTGCTGCTGTAGGACAGCGGAGCAAAGACTGGCAGCCCAGGGGTGTGTCTGTTCCCTGCTGACCCACCTTCACTGTGTTCCTTCCAAGGAACCCTGAGAAGTTGTTGCCCCAGGCCTCCTGCAGGCCCAGACTGGAGCATCCTGCCCAGTTGAGGTTTTTGGAGCAGGTAGACCTGTCACAGATACCCAGCTATTTGCCACCTTATTATTACAAGTCACAAAGGTGCCGCTTGTTGGGAGCTTACACGTTGCAGGCAGTTATACACACTAGCTCATTTACCACTGCCAAAAAAGATATTTCTGTCCTCTTTATAAGAGAACAACACTGAGACTTAGAGGGACTAACTACCGTGTCCAAAGTTACTGATAAGGACAGTCCTGGGACTCAACCCAGAGTTGTCTCAGTGCTATGCTTTCAGTTACCTCTCTTGGTCTTTCTTCTGGATAGATAGCATTTATTTAGAAACCAGTTGGGAATCATTGCCAGTGATATAGAGGGAAAGACCTACGAAACTGTTTGAATTCTCTTATAAAAAATTAATGTAAGTTTGCCAGTGGCTTTATGTCTAGTTAGTGGAGGCGAGGAGAAAATTGATCTCAGCAGAATCTGATAGATCAGCCATACAAACAAAATTAGTGTTTCATCTGCTGCCCTTATTTGAGGATCAAAGGATCATTACTTTCTTAACCCAGCCACCTAAATAAACCTCCTTCCCATCTTGACAAGTTACCTCTGACCTCAGAGAAACAGAAACTAGAGGATCCGAGATGACTGGCCCTCCTTCTCAGGTGGACCCTCTGGGTTGCGCTGTGGGGCACTGGTAGGTTGGCTGCTGAAACTAAAACTTGGCTTTAGCCTCTCAGATTCTGCTGAGCTGTCACAGGGAACACCAAGCCCTCATGGCACTTGGCCTGGAAATTGGGGCTGGTGCTACTTTGTAGCTGTCAAGACCCAAGTTTTTATTCCGCCTCTCAGATTCATTAACTGCTCAGCCCTGTGGCTTCTGATTTCAGGGGGATGGAAAGATGGACTTCAGCTTGATAACACGAAAGAGCTGAGGAGTACTTCACTACTGTCATGTTTCTTGTGCCCATTTCCTTCTTTGTCATGTACTTGTCCTTTTGCAATAGATCCCAAGAGCAGGTTCACAAGAAGACTGACATGTTAGAAGAAAGTGGGAAAATCCCAGGGAAGTTGGCAGTGTGGCTGGCTGTGTTTTCATACTGGTAGAGATGTGAGTTTTCCCCACTGTCATTCCACATCCTCACCCCTCAAGCGCCTACCAGGAAAGATTCCAGCTGTCCTCTAGCCCTGAGGACTCCAGGTGCAGGGCTTTTCAGAGCCTGCAAACACAACTGTTGCACTGGAAGCATGTGGAGAATTGCAATGCCCATATGAGTCTGGAGTGGGGATTGTACAAGCTGCTATTAGTATTTAGTGGAATGATGTGGCATCTTTTCAGGGTTTTCCCTGTTTGCTTCCTCTTTCAAATCTAGTCTAGTCCAGGAAAGGCTGTTCCCCTGTCTTCACTCAGGCTGGCTGTAAGGTGTTCAGACAGTGCCAACCAGGTATGCATCCAGCCAGCACATTACAGGGGAGGGCCTTCTCTGCCCTTGGCTCTGGCCAGCAGGAGGCTGTCACTGGATGACTCGCCCGGATCTCAAACTGTCACAGTCTCTGGCTCCTTTCTTTCCTGCCCACTTCTCTTGCACCCAAAATTCCAAATGTACCATTTAGATCTCCCTTCTCTAATGTTCCTTAAACAATGCATGACTCTCCCATACTCCTACACATTTCCCATCTAGCATATTTAAATCCATCAGCATCAGGAAAATATAATAAAACATTAGATGGTTTTTTTTAATAATTTTGTGTTCAGTTCAACCAACTCAGCTAATTAGTAACTCAGCTAATTATAACAATGTGAACACCAACACAGCCATTAGCACATATTAGGCACCTACTAAACACAACCTGAGGCGCGTGATGTCATCTATCCTGATGAGAGTCTGACACACAGATAAATGAAAGGACCTGGCCAAGGCCACATAGGCAGCGGGTAGCAGAGTCCCAACCAAGTCTGTATGCACCTCCCCGGAGTCCATGGCCACGGCCCACAGGGGCACAGGGAGCAAAGAGCAGAGGAAGGCCCTGCGCTGCCTGCCCTCTGCTTCCCTTACTTACTTCACACAGTAGTTCGAGACCCAACCCTTTGTCCCCTCTTCTCTCTGTTCCTCCTCCTAGTCCTTCTCTCAGGGTACCAAGGCCCCTCCCCCACCTCTGCCTGCCCCCTCACTTTGGCTCACATACATACTTGCTCCACTGCACAGTCTGATACTGTGCCCCTAGCCCCCATTGCTCCCCCCCACCCCACCATTGTCTTCTGCATTCACTGATAAACTTTCCTGTGTGTCTATTCTGTACCAGTACAAAGAAGGTGAGGTCCTCACCCTCGTCTCCATCTTTCTAAACCTACAGATGTAGGACATTGCTGGGTCCTCTGTCTGGAGCGACCACCCAGCAGGCAGCACCTCTCCTAGCATTCTCCCCCAGGAGCCACTTGCCCTGACCCGTCTCTGCCAACCTTGGGGTGAACACTGGAGCACCCTCAGGGGCAGTGTTGGTGTGTGGTGTTAGCACTCAGGTACTAAGGCCACCACCAAGCATGGGTTGACTTGCAGGAGGGAATCCAGCCCTCTGGCTTCACCAGATCTCTATTCAGGTTATTTTCAAACAGGCATTGATTGTCCATGGGTTGAATATGCTTGCAGTGTCCAGGTCATGACAGACCCTGAGGAAAGGACAATAATAACAACACATTAATTAGACAATAATAACAACACATTAATTAGACAATAATAACAACACATTAATTAGAAGTGTTCACAAAACATACTTTATTGCCTACTCAAACCTGTGATTATTTTTTTTTTAAGATTTATTTATGTATACAAGAACTAGGGTACAGGCCGTATATGGGGAGGTGGTGAGAAGATTCACCAGAGATAGAGTGGGGAGCAGAACAGGCAGATGATCTACTGAAATACACTGCTGAAGGGAACAGCAGTTGGGTCAGAAGAGGTCTGCTGTGCCATGTGGGTCACCTCCTCCCTGGCCAGGGATCAGACTTATGCTACAGTGGCTGTGGCCAGGCTAGCTTCTTAGGGCTGCACTTTAGCCCATTGTGCCACAAGAGAGGGTCCCTCAGACACATGATTCTAAGAGACCATGTAAAGGCACAGCTGTATTTTCCCCTGAGGCAAAGCTCACAGGGGTCTTTGGAGGCCCCACTGTTGATAAGTCCAGTCAAGCTGAAGATCTGTGCCAGGGAGGCAAACCCCTGAATCCCCTGAAGTGGGGAGCGATCAGGGGAGCCCGACAGCCAGGCCTGCCCACTGCCTCGTGCAGGAGCCTGACTCGGAACCCTGGCAGCGTCTGCAGTGTGTGACCCACGCAGCTGTCCTGCTAGTACATGGAGCCCACGTCCTGGCACTGACTTCCGGCCACCTGAATGTACTCAGACCCTGAAAGAACAGACTTGTCTGAAGCCCCTACCACAAAGGAAACTCCTCCAAGGTGTAACACATCAGCTCTCTATGCCCATCCCAGCCTAGAGCAGTCCTGGTCATCTTGTCCACGTCCACCCCAGTGAGGGAACCTCATCAGTTCTTCTCCCCTCTGCTCAGCAGAACCTCAGGCCTAAAAGCTTACAAATGAATGACGGGTGACCAGGAGACCGCTGCTGGTTCAGGCCCCAGAGGGCTGGTCACAGCTTTCCCACTTAATTCATCTAAATGGGCATTTTGGCGTTTTTTTGTTTTGTTTGTTTTGCTTTTTAGTATATTCACAGAGTTGTACAGCCATCAGTGCTATTTAGAACATTTTTATCACCTCAACAAATAAACCCTGTACCAATTAGCAGTCACTCCCCATATCCCCACCCCCCACAGGCCCTGGCACCCAGCGATCTCCTGCCTCGCTGCATTTGCCTGTTATGGACATTTCCCATAAATGAATCCATAGTATGTTCCCCTCTATAACTGACTAATTCCACTGAGATGATGCTTTTGTGTCACATCGGCCACCAGTATTTACTCCTCCTTACCACCGAATAATCACCTGCTGTTGTGTGGGACGTGCATTTTGTTTCTTCATTTGTCGGTGAATATTTGGGTTGTTCCTGCTCTTCAGCAATTATGAACTATGAGCTATGAGCATTCATGTGCAAGTTTCTATCTGGACAGGTGTTTTCAGTTCTGTAGGGCAGATACACCTTGGAGTAGAATTGCTGGGACATATGGTAACCTAAAGTTTAACAATTTGAAGAACTTCCAAACTGCTTTCCAAAGTGACTACTCTTTCACAGTCCCACAGGCCACGCATGAGGCTGGCCGTTCTCTTTGGATGTCCTCTTCCAAGCCTTCTGAAGTGACTGTCAGTATAACCCACAATCTCCAGTCAGGGCCTGTGGCCGCACAGCTGGCAAGCAGCAAGGCTGTGATTGGAACCTCAGTGTGTGATTCCCAATGTCCTGCTTCTCCCTCTGTGACCTGCTGCCCAGCACTACCTTTGCGTCACTAATGAACGGTGTTCTCACCCTTTGCCTCTATGCCTGCACCTCCTTGATGAGTTTTCTGTGTTGCAGGATGTGTCAGGAAATGCTGCCTTTCTGGCCTTCACTCCCTTTGGGTTTGTTGTTCTGCAAGGAAACAAGAGGGTCCACTTCATTAAGTGGTGAGTGTCTCATTTTCACCACTGGCGCCGTGTGCCTCACCACCTGGGGAGGGAGACGGTTCCCATGTTCTTTGTCTGTGATTGGGCACTTATGGTTCGGAGCCCTCTCCAAAGCTTTGCAGCCACAATGTGACTGATGGAGGAAGTGGTCTCTTCCTTGGGATCCTATACTTCCAAAAAGGGTGTTCCTGAGAGCCAACAGCCTCTCCAGAGAGAAAGTGTAGAGATGATTTTTGGGCAGGACAAGAGACTTGGGACTGGATCTAATGTTGAGAAATCAAAGTTTCCATGAACACTGAGTTCTTGGGACTGTCAGCTAGCTACTGGGAACCATAGGATCTCTGTGGATACCCCACCCCCTTACCCACCCTCCTAACAAGGGAGGGGCTCACAGTGAACCTGTCACAGATAGAAGTTACCCTGTTGGTCCGGCTGGACACCTTCCTCAGGCTGACCGCTGGGTGGGCACTGAGCCTGCAAGAGCACATGTGCTGCTCTGTTGCTGTGCTGTCCCTCTTAGGACTTAAGTGTCCTTTCCCACCCCACTTCCTGCCCAGCATTCCTATTGCTAGGAGACAGGCGCCCTTGTCTCAGCTGAAGCACCTCCAAACTGCTTCCTCTCTACCTATCTGTTCAGTTTTTTCTACGCAGCTCTAGGAGCTGATGCAACACCGACTGGTTTGTGGCTGGCTATTTGGCTGTGCTGGCAACCATACAAATCCTGTAAATGTTTTCTGGCCTGTCCAAACAGTTTCAGCCTCATCACAACAGTTGCATAGGCTCCTAAGACCCTGTGATTTCTGGCCTTCTTGTGCCTCATTGCCAAGTCTGAGCTGGCCAACTCCTCTCATAGGCTTAGGCCAGATCTCTCCTAGCAGAGCTCAGACAGGGAAGGCTTATCCATCTTCACTCCTTTGCCTTCTCCAGAAGAGCTAGTTGAGAACCTGAGGGTGGAGCTGCTTTCTGCTGAGGTGCTGCAGGCCCACATCCTCTTCGGGCCATCCCTGCTGACCCTACGAACATCTTCCCCACCCTTGGTGATCTTGTGAAGAATGACAATATGGTGATGACCCAGAGTGGGGGTGAACCTGCCCCTCTGGCACGCCCAGCCAGGTCCCCATCCTTAGAATAGCAACTCACAAAGCCGTGTGCTATAAGGGCATGACCAGTGAACACCCCAATGTGCCTGTTTGCTAGGCCTTCACAGGTGGGCCTGCTGACTGTGCTCTCTGTGTAAAAGTAGTGATGTTTTGGAGTTTCCTATCCAAAAATATTACTTTGCAAGAAGAAAGAATAAGCAGGACCAAGTCACTGCTCTCCCAGAGGAGGACTAGTTGACTAGACACATCCCTGTTGTCAGATGTTCTCAAGAGGCCCTGGACCAGACCCCAGGCCAACCTCTGATGGGGTAGCTGTCTCATGGAAAGTCTGGTGGGGGCATGTGTAACTAGAAATAAGTAGGCAGCCCTATTATAGGAACCTGTGTTCCCTAATGTATTTGGAAGCCCTGATGCTCATCCAGTTCTCCCAGATGCTTTGCGTGTACTGGCCCCTCACGGCTCACTTGATAACAACTTTAAAATAATAGGTAGAAATCCAGACTTGACTCTTTACTTTCCTAGCTGGCTTGTTGAAGCATAGATGGTCTGCATGCAGATATTATTTACTGGATTCTCTGTGAGAGAGTGATCGATCTGTTGGGAGGGTGTCAGAGGCATGCCTGTGACTTGTGTTAGATCAGAGATGGTAGTCACTTTCATCCTGACCCAGTCATGAATTCTAGGGCTACAGGGAACAAGTGACCTCCCTCTGTTCCCTGGGTTTTGCCCAGCAGTAAATTGAGTGAATGGTTCTCACTATCTTTCTGTTACTTCCTAGGATATTGAGGAAATCTCCCTAGAAATTGCAAAGAGGAAGAAGCCAAGTGGAGGCAGATATGCATGGTCAGACCTCCTGGTGGTCCCAGATGGGTAGAAAAATAAGGACTCTACCCCCAGAGAGGCGGGAGGGACTGCAGCTCCACAGGGCAGCTGTGTCAGGCCACTGAAAGAACAGTCAGGAGTGACCGGTCTCATTTTCTGGCTCTCAGGGACATCCACCTAAGACCCTGGCCATTTTTCCATTTTGTAAATGTAGCCAAGGCTGAGAGCAGTATGCGGAGGTGAGGTCGAAGCCGTGCCATGTACAGTAACCATGTCACTTCTTCTGATTTGTGTCTGTCCGGCGGGTGACGTACCCCAGTATCCTGTTTACCTCTTTTACTGCAGCCATTCACTGGGCTGGTGGCTTCAAGGATTTTTCTACAAAAACCCCTAAGCCCCTTTCCTGGTCAGTACGCTGCATGACTGTTCCATGTAATCTGTTCTCTCTCTTTGGTATGTTTCCCCACCCCCTCCCTGAGATCGTTACATTTGTCTGCATTAAACTGCATTTTCCATCCAGTGGCACAGTCACCTGAAAGACTCAACTCCCTCAGAACCTGGTTGCATTGTTTTTCATTATTTGCTGAACCTTGACCTTTGGCCTCATCAGCTACCTGTGGCATCCCACGTTTGACAGTCCCATCTAGATAATGCACCTGTGTTATGAACCAAATCCTGAAATAGCCCGGGACACTCTGCCTAGACTCACTTTCCATGCAAATGTTTCCCTTTTACAGCCACTGTTGATGAGCCCGAAACCCTCCTATCACCCTATTATTATAGTGTGATTGACCAGAAAACTGGATTGAACTGTTTCAACAACTCTCTAAGGCCACTGCGCTGCTGTCTTGTTTCAGTTCTGATTTTGGCTAAAACTGTCTGTGCCTGGAGCCCCTTCCAGTCAGGGTGGGCTGTGCATCTGCAAGACTTAGCGGTAAACAGGCAACCCGCAGGGAGGTGACAGGTGCTTTCTTTGTGCTTCTAGGAACGAAGTGACCAAGCTGAAATTTGAAGGGAAGACTTTCTATTTATACGTAAGTCAGAAAGAGGTGAGTGCAGCTTCCATCTCTTTGGGGAGAGCTGGGCACTGGGGTGGTTCCTAGTGGCCAAGACGGAGCCATGGTGGCTCAGGTAGAACCAAGACACCTGCCTGCTAAGCCAAGGTCAAGATCAAAATCTGGAGATGGAGGGATGGAGGAGGAGCTAGATGCTGAGCACAGGATTTCCTCATGGACGCTGACTCCAGGGATTCTATGCCTCCAGACAGTGCTAAGTAATATTCTCCTGCTGCCATATGAAAATTTTAAGAGATAATAATAATAAACTTCCAGATGAGAGTACTTCTTTCTGTGGTGAGAGCTTTCTTGGTCAATTTGTGCCAGTTGAGCCTTATTCCGATTAAACCTGCTGGACATGAGCTTATATGCTAAACTGAGCTCTGCCCCAATGGGTCCTGCTGGTTTTCTCTGCAACCAGCCAGCTGCAGGGCAGTAGTCCCTTCCCTGTCTGCGATCTATTCTGAGTTGTGGGGACCTCTTAGCTCAGGCCAGTGTCCTGGTCTGCTTCACCTTTCACATCTCTATCCACACTGAGCTGTCTCCATATGGCATTTTTTTTTTTTTTTTAGGAAAAGAAAATTATTCTCACATATTTTGCTCCAACTCCAGAAGCCTGCAAGCACCTTTGGAAATGTGGAATCGAGAACCAAGCCTTCTACAAGTGAGTGGACACATGTAACAAGGACCCTTTATCAGAGCCAGAGTCATAGAGATCACTACTTCTAGAATAATTAGCAAACTTTGAGGAACTTATAGGAGACATGAGATGATGAGGCTGGGCTTCCTTAGAAAACTCAGACCCGTCTCTGTCTTTCCTGAAGGTCTAACTGTACCCACCCCCCTAAAATCCGGTATGCGTTAGCAATTGTCCAGGAGGTCTGGTTTGTGATACTCTCTGCGCAGGCTCCACTGGTAAGGCCATTCTGGATCTTTTCAGGTTAAGACTGAGCCAGGGAAGCCCATGGGTGCCAGACTTGAATTGAATGAGTCCTGTGAGGCTAGAATACAACAGCTTCATAAAAGAGCAGGCAGAGCCCAGAGAAGCTCCCTAGCCCTGGAGAGTCTCTGGGGTTCACACCCTAGCAGGCAGCCTGGTGCCGAGGTAGAATGGATGCCAGCCTGTGCTAGTGGGTCACTGCCTGGGGTATTACCATGTCCCTGGTCATTACAGTGCCCATTTTGGTCAAGTGCCTGGGATGCTGGGGTAGAGGAGCTGAAGAGAGGTAAGGGCTTATCTGCTACTGATAAGCCAGTTTAGGGCCAAAGGATTCTGTAAAATGCATGAGTCTTTTGCACTGTTTATTTGATTAAGAACATGATTAGAAAACACACTAGGGAGAAAGGAAATGGTCCATCAAGAAAGGGTGGTGGTGCCAAATAAAGCAAGTTTCACTAAGACCCTTGGTCTTATTTTAAAAATAGAATTCCTTGATACATGCTTTAATAAGCTGGATCTGACTCAGGACATCAGATGTGTTTGCAACAGCCAAAAGAAAAAAAAAGGGAAAACCCAGGAAGGAAGAAAAAGTGTGTGTAACATATATTTCATCCCTGATAGGCCAGGACCCTGACTCCTGTAACCTGGGCAGGGAGGGGTCACTACTGTCTGCTATGGGATGCCGGTGGGCCGGTGGCTAGTCTCCTCCCAGTTCCTAGTCACAGCCCCAAAGGCTATTTGACATTGAACTAAATTTAGGTTAACTTGACTTCTAACCTAAATGAGCTGCTTTCTTCTCACTGAGTAGACACTTTTAAGAAACCTTGACATGGTCAAAACTTCCCTCCTGTCCAGGAGGGAAAGCCAAACAAACATATCAGCCCCATTTCTAGGAGCCTTTGTTTTTCCATCTGTGCTATGGGGAGAGAGAATTGTACTTTTGAACCTGTGACAATTTTTCCATTAACAAATCTTCTAATCTAGCTAGACCAGCCAATATTCACACAGCACCCTGGAATCTAAGGTTGTTTTGCAGTTTTCCATTGACTGCTTAGTGTCCTAATTGAGTTGAAAGCCTCTAGCCTGGATCAGATCCCCAGGTACACCAAGTCTCTGGCTACATACTCTGGACTCACTCTGAGCATCTTTCAGCAAGCAGCTCCCTCACTTGTCTGTGGCTTTGAAGCCCCTGTTTTGAAGGGAGCTGTATCAGTCTCAAGAATATGTTCAAGTAAAAGGGCAGTGAGTCCAGCCCTCTGGGTGTCCTGGGCATGTTTGGGCTGAGTTGGGTCTTGCCAGACATCACTCTGGGCAGCTCTGCTCACGCTTCCTCTCTACATGCAAGAAGACCAAAGAGATCAGAGAAGTGCGCATGCAGCACTCCATACCGGTGGTCTATACCCTTGAAAGTAATGTTAATGTTACTTTCTGGGAGAGAGGTAATGTTTCCAAGTTTAAATAAATTAGGGAACTTTTATTAAAACTAAGCTAGTTTATTGTAGGACTTCTCCAAGACTTTAATATGGTAATGTACTTTAAGGACTTTCCAAGAGGCAGGTGGAATAGGAAGGGCAGCCACTACCTCCTCACCCACAATTGCCAATAGGGACATGGATCATCAAATACAGGACTGGCAGGGACTCTAGCTTCATCAGTTTTATAGATAAGACTGGAGCTGAGAGAGGGTAAGATGTATCTAAGGTCTCCCTGCTAATAAGTGGCCTGACTAGATTAGGTGGTGGCATTGTTAGATCCCCAAGGTCATCATCCCTGACACTTCTCAGTTCCTTCCGTGTTCCCTATGAAGCTTTCCTGGGGAGCCCTCACTATCTTAACATGAAAACCGATTTCAGCCAGACTCCCTGGCATTGAACTGGGGAGCACAGCCTGAGGTCCTAAAGAAGAATCACAGCAAAGTGAGCGCTGATAAAAAGCCCCACGCGGGCTTGCGTTTTCCTCAAGTAGCCTTTAGAAAGACCTGGGAACATGTGGCCAAAACCCGTGTGACACTGGACTCTGCCTTGCTGCAGGCTGGAGAAGTCAAGCCAAGTCCGCACGGTGTCCAGCAGCAACTTATTCTTTAAAGGGAGCCGGTTCCGATACAGGTAAATAGTGACAGTAAGTAACCATTATGGTCCTAATTTTTAGACCCTTCTCTATAGAGATGCTCAGGGGTCCTTACCCTTAGGAAAGACATTGGAAACACCCAGAAAAACCTGTGGTTTCCATCCATTTCTCCTGTCTTCTAATCCTTTGATTCTTTTTCCTTCCCTGCAGAATGTTTGTCTGTGGGGTTTAAAATGTGTATCTTCTCCTGCCTCCTTATAACAGCAGCAAAAGGTGAACTACAACAGTGACGCTCTTCATTTCTTTCTGAAGAACCTTTTTTTTTTTTTTCAACATTTTTCGAACATTGGGACAATGAGGAATCATTTCTAAATATTTGAGAATGGAGATACAAAGACTTCAGAAATAGAGAGCTCTCTAAGCTAAGCTGTCAGGACATCTTAGAATCTTTACTCCAGCAAGCAAGCCATCCTCAGTGACCAAAATCCTGGAAGGGGGGTAGGCCAGTGATATCATCCTTGCAGAGAAGCTCAGTCTTAAAACACCATCTCACTTCTTGCCATTCACTTTATTATACTATTTCTAGTGGCCGAGTTGCAAAAGAAGTAATGGAGTCCAGTGCCAAGATCAAACGAGAGCCACCGGAAATACACAGGTAAATAGCCGGGGGCTTCCCCCCAAATCAGGCCCATCTCAGATCCCAGAATCTCAAGAGTCAGCAGTGGGAGTGGTACAAATATTCTGCCCACAGTGGTCCCCAAATGTGGGAGAAAGGACAGGAAGGAAGGTAAGGAGAGTTGTCTTGGCTAGTAGTGTGGGCAAACATAGCCAATTCTGGTACCTCTAGCCTTGATGAGAAGTGATGCAGACAGTGTGAGCACCAGGAGCCTCCTTCCTGGGTAGTTAATTCTGTTCTATTCTCCCACATCATGAAATTGGTCATAGAAAATGGGAGGGCACATTCAAGCAGCAATATTCCATTGGTTCTGGAGTGACAGCCCTGTCACTCTGGGCCTACAGTAGTTTCAGGACCCATGCTTCCTGTATAACTGTAAGTCAGGCTTTGCAGAAGCCCATCTTTTAGAAACTGGTAACACTCAGAATACAAGTGGCCCAGAGGACAAGGCCTGAGCATGCTGCACCTGCCATCTGGGGATGGCGCATCATTGCAGCCCCTGCGGCAGCAGCCTGCTGGAAGAACAGGGGCCTATTATTATCATTTCAGGCACATCTTCATGAGTACTGCTCATCTTGAAGCCCTACTTGCTGATAATTCTGCCCCCTAAACCATTGCCACACTAATAAAACATTCAGGTGGGTTTGAAATACAAAGTGAAAGAGTTTGTAGCTGTGTCTAACGGCAAGAAGCAACTATAAATATCTACAAGCAAAATACAGCAGGCAATTCTACTGGTCACTCCTCACCTTTAAGTCTCAACTACTGTACCTGTGCACTGAATTGACATGGCCCTCCTCTTCTTTAATCTCAGAGCAGGGATGGTTCCCAGCCGCAGCTGTCCCTCCATAACCCATGGCCCAAGGCTTAGCAGTGTCCCCAGGACGCGGAGAAGAGCCGTTCACATCTCAATAATGGAAGGTGAGTATAAGCTCTGGAGATGACCACAGGGTTGCTCCAAGCTGTGGCTTGAGCTAAAGCCTCTTCAGGGGTCATAAGTAGATTTCATGCAAGCAAATTTGCTTTATGAAAGACAGTCTTCCCCAGAGGTAAGGAGGTTTTACTCTTGGTGGGAACACTAGCTGGATGTCAGATAAAGGGGAGCCCCCACCCAGCACCACCTAGCTGTAGTGCAAGGGATTATAGACTTGAAGAGTATTGGGATAAACCCTGGGGAGACTGTATATTTAGGACCTACATGGTTCTGTGCACTTCTGAAACTGTGTTTCATCAAAGGCATTTTCTTTGTTTACCAGCTCTGAAAACAAGCTTACATGAGCAGGTGACTTGAGGCAGTTAACCAAGAAATTAAAATTTTGGTTCTGAAGCATTCCACTAGCTTCTACTTCAGTTGCAGGGAGCTGTCCTCTAGCTATCTGAATTCCCTACCATCGTCTCAGGAAATCCAGTGTGCCCATCTCTTGCTACATTTCCTTCCTTTGGGAAGAGGCGGAAATGGGAGGAGAGACAAAGTCTACATCTTCAGTAAACTGAAGTACCCCAGCCACCAAGGCCAACACCTCTCCACCCCCTGGGTAATTATTACTATTAGGAGACACCCTTGGTATTAACAGTCCCTTCTAGCTGTTGTCACTGACACAGCTTGCCCCACAAGCTAGATACAGGTTGAGTGCTTTCATCCCCAGATGGTGTTTTTTGTAGAATTTCAGCTTTCAAGGAGCAGGAAATAGAATTACTTCAAACTTGTCTTGGAAATGAAAGCATCTTTGCCCTTTCTATAGGAATGCTGCTAGTTAAGGAAGAATCACTCACGTTAGGAAGGATGTCATTACTCTGCTGTGCTCTTGGAGGATTCAGATTTGTGTTTAGAACTTCCTGATGTGGTGGTCTGGGTCTAATCCTTTGCATCACCGTGAGTACAGTATAGAACCACAAAGAGTCTTAGGGTTGAGAACCCTGGCTGGGCAGCTACCATCAATTATTTGTCTTAGCTCTTCCATTGGTGAAACAAGAACATCTTCCTTACCTCCTCCCTGGGTTGTGAGGAAGTGGTTATATACAGGACTACCTGAAAGGGATAAAGGCATTTCCTAGGCAGGCTTCAAGCACAGTGCAAAGATCCTTGCCAGGAAGTCAATGATTCGGTAGAGCTCCACCACATGTTTCCTAGGGCAGGTTGCCCACACTGTGCAGTATGGAGGGCCTTGACAATGACAAGTATAACCGCTGCACCAGGTATGGAATTACAGCTGTCTGACCATCATCAGACGGCCTCCCATCTGTCCTGTGCCAGTCTGTCCTCCTGTGCTAGTCATGCTGGACTGTGCTAGCATTAGGCTCTTCCTTTGGGATGTTTACCTCAGGAAAGTGGAACAAATTTCTTCTCTCTCAAGGGAACTTTTCCTCCTCTCTGTGACCTTTCACCCCCATCCAGCCTGAGGCTAAGGCCATCAGGTTCATCCCAAGGATCCTGAAGAAAGTCAGGTTGACTGTCCTCCCAGAGATAGGCCATCCCTGAGGGAAGCCAGCACTAATGTATGTATAAAATGAGAGGAACCACATCCCCCCGAAGTATGCTGAGACAAAAGACTGAGGCTGTCTAAATGCCAACATAGTTTATTTAGAACAGCTGCCAAGCAGGGTTAGCAGATTCAGAGGCTGTTTTCATGCTCCCTCTGGATAAGCTATGAGGCTCTAGCTGAGCCTTCCACCTCCCAGAATATACCATCTCCTATTGCAGCAGCTTCAAAGCTTATCAAAGTCCAAAATAGTCACCCATGTTTGCAAATGCCAGGGAAGGGTGCAGTGAGGAGGGGCTACTAAGAAAAGTTTTGGAGGACAGCTTCCCAAACCTCAGTCCACAGAATGTCACACTTACCAGGTCAGGCCACAGTCAGGCGCTGTTCCTCAGGCCAACCTGTTCTTCACACCTAGAGCCCAGGCCACTTACAGATAAGCACAACCTTCACCCTAGCCACAGCCAGGACCCACTAAGGCTGGCGTGGGAGAGGATCGGCTAAAGCTAAGAACTGCCGCAGGAGAGCAGGAGGAGGCAGATGGACGTCTGGTTTGGATGCAGATAAAATAAGACTTTAGCAGTTAGTGGCTAAATCAGTACAGGGATTACAACACTCGGGAATGTATAAAGAATGGATTATTTTTCAGGAAGCAGATTTCCTCTGTAAAGGGCGGTTTGTCTTTAAAGCTCCTGACAAACAAGGCTGACCTTGACTGTCTGCCCCATCCAAGGCAGGGCTGAGGGCAATGTGGTGAAAATCCCAGAAGGACAGACACCAAACTCCCACCAAGTTACACTTATTTGGTTTGTGTTCCATGAGGTTGTCTTTCCATACTCCATGCAGCCTATAATATCACAGAAATCACTTGACTTTTCCGGAGAAAAATCTTTGTTTGCTATCTCCAAAAACAGGTAAACTGCAAAAACATTAATGTAACATTATGGTTTGAGTAAACTATGTAACCCCAAGGAACTGTGACCCTTAAAAACAGTGGCTGTGTTGATTGGTCTGGCCCTCTGCTCTCAGGGGTGCCAGGAGTACTTGTCATTAGCACTAGCCTGACCCAGAGTGGATACTTAGGTATGTCTGCGCCTTTCACTCTTTGGGGCACTTCTGCAAAGGGCTCCCACCTCCAGCCCCACAGCCTCTTCCTCACAGACACCCAGCCCCGAAGGCCAACGTATCTGTAGCTGCACATCCTGGTTTTGCAGGGGCAATCCTGATCCCCCTGCCCTTAGTCCTTCAGTCTCTGAAAGATCCAGGGCCCTTATATGGGCCTCAGGACAACAGCCACCGGCTTCAGAGCATTACTTTTTATGGCTGAGTACTTCAGACTGAATCCAGTTCCCTGATAACACTGGCCTCTCAGAGCCGCTCTTCCCAACAGCTCAGCCTGTTTTGTAGCAGCGCCGGCCACTCTCCCACCTGGGAGGCACTGCAGAGGGGCTGCCATGCATGACGGTAGCAAAAATCCTTTGGCCTTGGTTGGTTTTCCATCTTTTTCCTCTGTCTCCTCCCTGCCTGACTGGTTTCCACCGAAGAAGTATCTGCCTTTCCTGGGCCACCATGGGGAAGAGTCTGATTAAGATTCACACCAGAGTCCGCGTGCAGCTCCGGTTTACTAACCACTGCCTTCGGCCCCTGAGCGTGCGCATCCTGAGGATGGGGCCCCGGCTCCGGGGTAGGCTCCTGACCGCTGTGCCCACGGGCCCCCTGACAGCCACCTCTGGGCAAGGCAATCAGCTGGAGCACCTCCAAGGTAAAAAAGACACTAATTTGCTGTGCCACTTGCCCAGGCCCCATCCACAGCACCCACCTCTCCATAACATCTTTGACGGAAGAGTGAGGTGGGTGGTGGTAGTGAAACCTCAACTTCTATACGGGACTAACCTGCTGTGGGAATAATCTTACAGTGAGGCCTCCTGTTGAGCAAAAGAGTAACATTTACTGAGTAATTTTGGCAGACTTCCTATGCTTAGAAATGGACACGTTCATTATCTTGTTTACTGAGCCCACCAAAAACTTACGCTTATATGTTTCTTCTTCTAACTAGCTCTCTCTCTGATGTCAAAGCCTTTGCCTTCTTCAGAAAGCTTAGGGCTTAATTGTAGGGCAAGTCGTGCTCATGATGAAGAGGCTTCTGGCAACTAAGCTGGTCACAATGTGGAAGATCAAGTGGTCAATTGTCCTTGTAAGGGGATAGTCCCTTGAAATGCTCTGAATTTCACAAGTTTCTTGGGTAAACAGAACCTAAATATGAAACAGGGGCAGGCAATTGTTTTAATTCCTTCTGTTATTCCACTGCCCAGAATCAAACTATGATCAATACCATTATTAAGCAGAAAGAGGCTTAAATTCTGCCCCGGGCTTTGCCATTACCAACCCAACTCTATGACTTTAGGTAAGTCCCCTAACCTCTCACTCTCACTACTTCATGGGGTCACTAAAAGATAAATTTGTAATTTTTTTTTTTTTTTTTTTAGCATTTTCACTTTAAGATCTTACCTTAGGAAGAGACAAAATACAACTAGGATCCTGAGCTTCTGAAAGCAGAGGTGGAGAACAAATATACTCACGCTGAGGTGATGGGTCTAAGCAGCTAGCAGGGTGTGGCCATCGCCAAACACACAACCCCTCACATCCCATTTTTTAGCCCAGAGTCCAGGGTTCATTCCACTGGAGAATTTCCAAGCTGGGCAGACAAGTGGCCTGGATGCAAATGACCACATCACAAGTAAGCCAAGGAAGATGCAACACACTGACTTTTTAGCGCTCTTTAAAACGCTCTTTAAAAAGAACTTTGTGTTTCTGTAGCTAGCCCTGAACCAGGGTCAGTCCAGAGCAAGAGCCAGAAAGCAGGCCTCCCAGTCACAGGTCACACATAGGCCACCCACGCAGAGAAAGATAGTCTAGTGCCTCCATGATGGGCAGGGAAACAAGGAGCTGTTTCTCCGGGAGCACTCTGATATGGGCACACTTGGTGTGATCAGCCCATGTCCTCTTTATTCCTACCAGATCTTGAGCCCTGGAAAGAGAAATCTTCCATCTGAAAGTAAAAAATGGGTAGTCTTAGGGTCCAGAAGACCCTTTCTAACATACAAAAGAATTTCCCCACTAGTCCAGTAAGATCTTCTCAGAGACAAAGAACCCTTGTGTTCTGGAGGGTCTAAAAATAGGAGTGCTGTCAGCCTAACCTAAAGTAAAGAGGGAGAGAACTGGCCAGAGAGCACTTAGGAAGAGCAGCTCGGGGTTTCTAATCTCACAAGGTCAGGACAACCAGGACTAGAGGTTGAAGAGACCAACAGCAATTGCAAAAGTCCAAAAGGGAACTTCTCTAAAGTCTACAAGTCACTGCTGGGTTGTTACAAGGAAAGCAATTCTGGGATCAGTATTTGGTAAAGCCTAGTTAGGCAAAACCATGTCAGGCTCCCCATTCCTGCTCCTCAGCCCAAGAGATAAACGAGCGCCTTGGCCTGTGACCTAGTCAGTCTGTGATTCAGACTCTTTCAAATTGCAGTTAAACCTGTTCCTTGAGCCAGAAGTTAGACTAATAAACCAGGCTAAAACCACGAGAAAAAAGAAAACAGCCACCAACCATGGCCATTCTGATTTCTGCTGCCGCTTCTGTCTTATTTTTCTTTCCCCAGATAATGTGTAGCTTGACGCAGTATTTCTATCTATTGCAAAATGATCACACTAAGTCTAGTTACTATCAGTTACCTCATACAGATACAATTTTAATCATGAGAACTTTAAGGTGTACTCTTAGGAATTCCAAATATACATCATAGTATTCACTATGCCATACATTAAATTCGCGTACCTTACATAACTGGAAGGTTGTACCTCTAGACTGCCTTGATCCATTCTGCCCAGAGTAGTGCACCAGTTTACTGTGTCCAAGAACTTTTCTCCACATCCATGCCAACACTTGCTATTTCTTTTTTTTTATACTAACCATCTAACTGATGAACTACTTACTGTCTGGGTGTGATTTTCATTTACCCACTTACCTTTAGTGATGTTGAGGGTCTGTCTGTGTCTTCTTTGGAAGAATGTCTATTGAGATCTTCTGCCTATTTTTAAACTAAACTTTTTTGCTATCGAATATAAGAATTCTTTACATATTATACGTATTAGTCACTCATCCGATATGTGACTTGCAAATATTTTCTCCCATTCACTAGAGGTTGTCTATTTCGTTTGTTAGTTTCCTTTATTGTGGTGATGCTTTTTAGTTTAATGTAATACCACTGTTTATGCTTCTATTGTTTTTGCTTTTGGAGCCAGGACCAAAATTTCACTGCCAAGAGATGTCAACATTTTCTTCTTGGAGTGCTATTGTTTTTGGTGTTTTTATTCATCTTCAATCCATTTTAATTTTTGTATGTGGTTTATGATAGCGATCCAATTTCATTCTTCTATAATGTCTAAGTTTTCCAACACCACTTACTGAAGAGATCGTAGATTCTCGCCTCCTTTGTCTATAAGTTAACTGACCATATATATCTAGGTTTACCTCTAGGTGCTTTTCATTGAATTATGTGCCTGATTACACCAAATGACATACTGTTCTGAACACTATATAGATTTGTTGAAATCAAGAAAGCATGATGTTTTCAGCTTTGCTGTTCCTTCTTAAGATTGCTTCATGACTCCACACAACTTTTAGTGAAAAATACAATTGCAATGTTGACAGGAAGGTCTCTGAATCTGTAGGCTGCATGAAAACTAAGTCTTCAATCCATGAGCACAGTTTCTTTCAATTTGTGTTATCACTTTCATCCATCAATATCTTAAAAGTGCTCAGGCCTTTTCCCTTCTTAATAGTCTCCTGTGCTATTCTCGAGCTATCAAAACAGAGTGCAGCAGCCACTGCTGTTGATTCCTCAAGATCGCAGTGACCAAATAAAACAGGGTTGTCTCCACAAGACAGCAAAGTGTGTAGGGGACACAGAAAGCCTCTTCATGTTCCTCTTGTCTTTCTAGGCCTAGAGTCCCTTCGGGACAGTGCCCACTCCACCCCCGTGCGTTCCTCCTCCCACGGGGACACCTTCCTGCCTCACGTGAGGAGCAGTCGGGCAGACAGCAATGAGCGAGTCGCTGTGATTGCGGATGAGGCCTACAGCCCAGCAGACAGCGTGCTACCTACCCCTGTGGCTGAGCACAGCCTGGAGCTGATGCTGCTCTCCCGGCAGATCAATGGAGCCACCTGCAGCATCGAGGAGGAGAAGGAATCTGAGGCCAGCACCCCAACTGCTGCAGATGTGGAGGCCCTTGGGGGAGAGCTGAGGGCCCTGTGTCAGGGGCACGGCGGGCCGGAGGAACAGGTGAATAAGTTTGTTTTAAGTGTCCTCCGTTTGCTCCTTGTGACCATGGGACTCCTCTTTGTTTTGCTCCTCCTCCTGATCATCCTTACTGAGTCTGACCTTGACATTGCCTTTTTCCGAGATATCCGCCAGACCCCCGAGTTTGAACAATTCCACTATCAATACTTTTGTCCCCTCAGGCGATGGTTTGCCTGCAAAATCCGCTCAGTGGTGAGCCTGCTCATTGACACCTGAGAAGGCATGACTCCTCCCAATAACTAGCCAGGTGGACCAAGGAGCCCGGCTACCCAGTCCCAGCAATGGGACCCATCGCGGAACCATCGGCACATGTACCAAGTCCTCCTCTCATGACTCAAAGTCCACAGCCTAGGAGGGTCATTTCCCAGAAGAGGAAAGGGATAGTATCATTCCCTGTCTAAACAAACTGGGAAAAATCATTTCTTTCAAGAAAGGCTCGGCAACTCTGTCATCCTTCCAATTTGCAGGATAATTTTTGCTTTTGAATTTTGATTTTTCATAGGTGTGTATTATTTTGAAAGTACCAAATAAAAATTTATTTTACTATTACCAATTGCAGTTGTGTCACCTAGCAGATGTGACACCTTGAAGACTAGAGCCTGCTGTCTCTATTGTGCAGAGCTTTCCCTACTGGGCTCCAGTAGACTCAGCACTGCAGCCTCAGTGGGTCAGGTCAGGGGTCTGGACAATGGGGATGGTCTAGGTTTTCTCGCCAGACAGAGCTTTTCAAAAGGTAACCATCCATGTAGAATAATTAAATGGAAAGTTGCTTCTTATGACGGTCTGAGTTGGATTTTCTTTTCCTTCCCCCCTTCGCCCCCTGCCCCAATCTGAGCAGAGTGGGAATCTGAAGGGATCACCGCTACAGCAGCAGCAGCAGGGGTGGGGTAAGTCTGTTCCCTTAGAATAGATCCTAGTGGGCAGCACCATGAGTTTTGTATAATGACCTTAGACTTACGTGGTTTTTTTTTTTCCCCCTGAGAACCTCAAGACTTATAGTGCTCCAGAAGCTTTAGATGAATTCAGTGGTGCAGCACTTAGTTAGGACTGTCAGAAATGCTAGACAAAGTGGAGTTAACAAAGACCAGAGATACGGTACCTGAAAGACTTAACAGTCCGAGAACGGTACTTACTTTGCAAACAACTCCCCCCAAAAAAGACAATTTCAATTTATATTTTAACAATATTTTCTTATCAATTCATATTTTGTTTTTACTTTATGGATTAAGAAAATAGAGCCTGATGAACTAAACGATGCAAGAAAGAAACTGATCCTGAGAATGAAAAGCTTCAGAAAATAGAATTCCAAGATCAACAAACAGCCTTGGAAGGGACCAGAAAAAGGATCTTTAAATAGGATTTCTAAGAGATGCCTACAAAAGAAGGTGAACGTGGCAGAGACCAACACTTAGACGTAGACATACTGCCCCCTAGGGTTCCTCTGCATCAGGACAATAAAAGCTGTAGGAACATACTTGCCACCTCTGCAGAGGGAAGCCTTGGAAGCGCACAGGACAGCATGTGAAGGGTGAGTGTGGGGTCTGAGGCCCAAGTTCTGCAAGTCTTACAACCAGTCACACATAGTAGCTCATTTTCATCTCAGGGAGAGATTGCTGAGTCATCAGAGATGTAAGACTTCCATAAAAACTGTCAGTGGATGTATTCCTGGGAACCACACCATTAGTGGAGCAGCCACTGACACCTATGATGCAGGGCAGCCCCCAGTGCAGAGCAGTGAGTCACTTGCAGGTTTCTCTCCCCAGCTTGTCCCCTAGATGCAGAACTATACCAATGTTTAGAACATAGCAACTGAAATAAATGGGTTGGGGGGGTAGGTGGTTAGAATGGGGAGTGTGGCATAATTTCAAATGCACTTCATCTAGACTAGGGGTCAACAAACTTCTCTGAAGTGCCAGATCATAAATATCTTCATTTTATGGGCCATACTCTATGGCAACGACTCAACTCTGTCATCCTAACACAAACACAGCGATAGGAAATAGTTTGGCTATGTTCCAATAAAACCATAAAAAAGCGAGCTGAATTTGGTCCAGTGGTCATAATTTGCCAAACCCCATCCAGTCAATGTAACTGCCCCCATTCCTGACATGGGTTGAATATCTAGGACCACTTCCCAGTGGAGGTACTGGGGTTACTTGTTTGAAGGTGCTCAACCAACCAACCAGCAAAAAGCTGTCTAACGCCAAGAGGAGCAAGATCAAGGACCACATACTAAAAACATGGCCAGAATCTAAGAATGGAAAAGGGTCTATCTGATCATTTCCATACCAGCAATTTGGGCAGAACTACAAACATCTCCTTACCACAGGATGAGACAAACTGAGGGAGCCCCAGGAAGATTAGGGGTCACGCTGAACCAACTAGTCACTGCCACTTGTCATTTCTACAAGAAAGACTTTAATTTAGCACAGGACTGCAATGAAAGGTACTCTTTAGAGATAAAAAGCCTGTCAGGAAATAGAGGGCTGGTTTTAACCAGGATATATACTCTTATGCAACACAGCAGATTACCTTTTAGTGTAGTGTTCCTACCTCAGTCTGTAGAGTATGGTGTTTCTATGCAGTAAGTGATTGCCTCGACTCTGACCTTTCATAGTCACATTAAGGAAAGATGCACTGTTCCATTTCTCATGAATTGTGTCTAGAGTCTTAAGAGTACAATAGTTCATACCACTCCTAACAGCTGGATTTTGCTCTCTGAATAGAAACTTTCAGTTGTTTTCTTGCAGGGCTTATCCCAGAAAATACAATTTCCTCCAATTTCCTTTTCAGATAGTTCCAGAATAACAAACCTCCTTTGTTGGTGACCAATCTTTTTTGGTATCTGTCCATCATTAAAAATTGTTAACATTTTTAACCTGGTTTTGCTGTGTTACACTGTTGTCTCCCATTTTCTCTTAGAGCTCATTATAGAAAAAGCAATGATTTACAGTTTCATCTATCAGAGGAATAGTGTACTGCATCTTTAAGCAGTAGAGGGTAAACTACCTGCAAATGTGAATTTTCTTAGTTTCATTTAAAAATACATAGTTGTTAACCTTTCGTGTGCCAAAAATTCTAAGTTACATTTTCTTTCAAAGCAATGTACCTTTTTCTACATATGCAGTATGTAGTTAGCATAAAATCATTGGTGCCATGAAAATTATTTTTGAACTTAAATAAATATTTAAATATCATAGAAGAGTGGACTCTTTCTTGACTTATACTTTGTCTCACTTTTTCTTCAAATTACTAACACATAGATAAAAGAATACCAGTGAGATTTACATGACCACCCTTCCTTAGAATCATTTGAAATACCACTAGAAACTCAGCTGTAAAGGTAAAATAATTTTAGAGATGAATTGGGCCTCATTCTCCTGCTGAGAAAAACCAAGAAGTCCTTACATCCCAAAGTAAAACAGAGGTGGCCCAGTTTCTAGTGCTTCTCCTCAAGCCAGAAAGATGAGAACAGAAGAAACTTCCTATGAAGAATGACATCACTATAGTAATAAGCCTCCTTATTTACAACATACATTCCTATAATACTATTTTATCTGATTTTGTAGCCATCACTGTGGTAATGTTCTTCTAAATTCTATGAGGATAAAAGATGAAACCAAGGGCACGGTCCACCATGCTAGCTTATCTAACTGTTCCAAGTCTTCCTGCTACCCAATCCTACTTCTGCTGGCACATCACTTTCCAAAAGTTTCAGGTTAAATCACTCATTTCCGAAGACTCAGGTTCCCATTACCTATAAGATAACATCCAGTGCTCGTTTCCCAGTGGAGTTCAGTGGTTTATTTTTTTACTTACAGTACCACTGGTTTACCTTGTTACTGGCATGTTGGATGTACAGTATTTTCCCCCTTAGGTATAGTTCCCATAGTGCAGCCACCACAGAAAGGCCTGTACTCCTCCACTGAGGATGCTCTCCCCTCCTTCAGTGGCTTTTTTTTTTATGACCACTGGGTATAACTGGCTTTTCATACCCCTAGAGATTTAGAGCAGACATGCCTCTTCAGAGTTCCTAAAGTCACACCTGTGCACAAAACCTTTTAAGGATTTTAACAACCATTTCCTGCTTAGGGTTCCTCAACCATAACCAAGCCCTTCTGCACCTGAGCACAACTTCTATTTTTAGCTCACAAACTGGATTCCTTCAATGCCCTAAAACTTGCTGATAAGAGTAAATGATGCATTTAAAACATTTCCTTTTGCACAACTATTTTAGGAAAAGATACCTTTTAGTTTACTCTTTATTCTGAGTAACTGTGCCAAATATTATCTTTCTCACACAATTCTACCTTTTTATCTAAAGATCCTAATGAATCAATAAAGTCAATGCCATCTTGGAGCTGAAACTCATTACTGCCATCAATGCCATACCAAAAAGGAAAATGCAAAATACTCCAAAAAGCATTAAGTCAAAAGGGACATTCTAATAAGCAGGACAATCTAATAAGCAGGACATCTAAGTTTTTGGAATCTGGAATTAAAAGGAATAGTCACCTCAAGTGTCATGTAGAAAGCACATGTATTTGCTCCTCCCAATGTACTTGTACCATGTAGTAGCTGCATAAGATTCAAATCTTTTAATCATTTTACAAAAGTATCAGGTTATATCACTCATTTTCTGGAGAACTGCCGCCTTTGCAAAGCCTTCTCTTTGTGGAAAGTAAACAAAAGCCAAAATAATAAAATAGGGCCTAATCAATTTCTTATTATCTGTGGTTATTTCTTTGTATCAAGTTGCTGTACACCTAAAATAAGAATCATCTCCTTCCTCAGAGTCACAGAAGAAAATACTAAATGTCTCAAAGAAAGTAAGTGGAATTCAGAGCTTACATGATCAAGAAAAGTCATACAGAGGCCAATTTACAAAAAAGGTTTACCCCAAAAGGGAGAAAGCAAACATAATACACACATGGGAAGAATACCTTTCAAAACAAATTACAGTTTTAGAATGTCCTAAGGGAAACCATTTTCGTTTATGTACTTTCTAGATTTTTAAGAATTACTCCATTATAAAGCTTACCATCATGAGAAACAAGTCCCCACTCACTCTGTCCTCCTCTCTTGCATTGTCTTAACAAGATAGAACTCTATTACATGGGACAGGATGAAAACAACAGTTTACAAAGCTGTAATGACAAAAGAAATCACAAAAGTGTGAAACATCAAAAATTTGATAACATTTATTGCGGAAGCCAGAAAATTACCATCAAGTTTTCAAAGCTTAAATAATGGTATTAATTTATGAGTTGTCAGCATCTTTAGAAAAAATTTTTCCATACAGCTGGCCATTCCAGAACCTGCAAAATTAAGTGGCATAGAAAAGAGAAAGTAGCTTAAAAGCTACTTTACTATTTCCAGGATAGCTTAACTACAACCCAATTTAGGATTAGTTTCAGTTTCATAAATTAGTATTCCTGTGTCACAGCACCAAGAAAAGAGAATTTCTAGTCCTTATAAATATCTACAATCTATTAATAGAGACTCAAAACACTTAGATTTCAATCAAAAAAAGAAATTACTAATAAAAATTATTCAAGGAAATTATACATGTCACTTTATTTCTGTAATAAACAATTATGAAAAGATAATATTTCCTCTTAGAATTCAAATATACTACACCAAAGTTATTTATGATAGTCTTTTAATAGTACTTTGGCAGTGAAGAACAATGGCAGAAGTTTAATATGTAATGTCACAAAGTACTTTTACTCACTGATTTAGTAGCACCCCTTCCAACAAACTCAAACAGTTGTAACTTCTGAAAATATTTTTATGAAGAAATGCCAAAAGTATCACTGTGAGTATTGCATAATATCGCCTCGGGATATGAACAGGAATGAAGATAATAACATAACAAATGATTGAATCTTCTGTGGAGTTTAAATACAAGAAGCAGGGCTGTCCAGGACCTTCTAAGGCAATTCATTCACTTCTTTAACCATGACCCGCAGTAACACAGAAACACATTTCACATCAGAATGTACACACACACATACACCGATATATTTGTGTATATTAAGATTCACAAAATAATACTTGCTGTAATGTTTTGTATTTCTCTACCTTTTATTTTTTTAAAACAGTCATGGTCACTAAAAAATGCCTTCATGTAAACAGCTACAGCCCAAAACCTGGAAAACACTGATCTAAGGGCAATCTCATATGGGGCTGTCGGGGTCAGAAAGAGCCAAAAATATGCCTAGGATCCCTTTGCTGTGCCACAGGCACAAGCCTGGAACCTCTAGGAAAGGAAGGGAAAGGGTTGGCACAAAGATCCAGGTCCTGCATCAGTGAACCATAGCTCCTCAGCAAGTTTTTTAGGGATTTCACAAAAGATTTAATTTAAAAGCAGAGGAGGAAAAGGGGGTTTTGGTTAAGAAAATAAAGGTTTCAAAATCACTATGTTAGATGACCTTTTAGTACTTTTCAGACCCTTTCCAGTATGTGAATTTAGAAAATATATCTAAACTATAAAATAAACCACAAATCTATTTATGACTATAAATTCAAAACTTACCATTAGATCACACAATCTTTTAACTGCTAAATCCAAGCTTTATAAATTACAATGCCAGAATTTCTCAACATACTGCCTAATTAAAAGTGAGAAAGGCATATAGCCTCCCCTCATATTCTCTCCCCATGCAGTAGAACACTCAGACCTCTAACTTACTAAAGGTTGTTACTGATAAAGCAGTTTTACGTATTTACTAAGTAGAACATGTTACCAAGTGAAAAGATTAACCCGCATGCATCACTGGGTTCCTTAAACAAATCAGTGTTGCTAAATCAAAAACTCAAATTTTCTTAATTCATAAAAACATGTACCTTCCCACTGGAATTACCTCCAGCCAAAATATACCGAGTTGGATGCATAGTATTGATGGAACACACAGAGGCAAGGCATTCTTCACCGAAAAAAGAATGCACTGACTTTCCTGTCTCATGGAAAATTTCTATCCGTCGTGGGTTAGCCATGCTGCCAACTATGACACAGTCTTCTTGTTTAGGATCCCACACAGCTTGGAATCTAGTCAGCCATTTCCCAGTAATGGTGTTGTGCCTAGTGAAAAGAACAATTTTTTTTAAAGTAATGTTAAATAACTCAAGGTAGCAATGGGCAGAGGATAAAGATGGAATTGCTCCTAAATGCTAGTTTTCTCTGACAGGTTTCTTAAAATTAAGTTACTGTGTTTACTATCAACCTGACACAATCTTTACTACAAGTCCAAAACTAAGGACAGAGATGATGTCTTCTTTTTTGATTTCCAGTGCCAAATACACTGCTTTGTATATCTATTGAAACATCATCTATTTTGCTCACTATTTTCTAACTGCATAGGAAAATCCCCCTCTTTTTTCTCTTTAGCATTATCCAAACAGAAAAGCCCATGAAATAAGAAATCTGCAGTCTAGGCTATTTTTGTGTAACCAAGATCTGCTATTTCTGCTACCTATATCCCCCTAATAAAGGAGCTTTGAAATAATTTTATATTCCATACAACTTTAAAGTAAATGTATTTCAAATTCAAAGAAGAAATCACAAGGAAAATTAGAAAATATCTGCAGGCAAAGAAAATGAAAACCAAATATACAAAAACTTATGAGATATAGTGAAGGCAGTACTGAGAGGGACACTTACAGCAGGAAATGGTTACATTTAAGTATCAAAATCAACAACCTGACTACACCTGAAACCACTAAAAGAACATAAAGCAAAAGGTAGAAGATAGAAACAAATCTAAGCATTAAAGCAGAGAAATGAAATAAACTAAGAATTTTTAAGATAAAAATTGACAAGCATTTAGCTATATTTTTTTTAAAAAAAGGGAAAATGCAAATAAAACTAAAATCAGAATTGAGTGGATCTTAAACTGATATCACAGAAATAGAAAGCACTATAAGAGAACCTACGAACAATTACATACAAACTGGATAAATTATAGAAATGGATAAATTCCCAGGAACATACAACCTACCAAGACTGAATCATGAAAGTAACAGAAATCACAAATATAAAGCTAAGTTGATCTGTAATTTGTAAAAAAAAAATTAAAGCAGTAGTCAAAAGTCTTCCAACAAAGAAAAGTCCAGGAATGGATGGCTTCACTAGAGAATGTTATCCTATGTGTAAAGAATTAACACTGATGGGCCCTCCCTGGTGGCGCAGCGGGTTAAAAGCACAGCACAAAGAAGCTTAAGCCACTTCCACATGAGTTCTATCCCTGTCTGCCCCGGAGGAGATCCACATGGCGAGGCAGACCTCTCCTCACCCGCTCACTGCTCCCCTCAGCAGTGTACTTCGACGATCTGCCTGTTCTGCACCCGACTCTGTCTCTGGTGAATCCTCTCACCCTCCGCATCTCTGGCCTGTACCCTAGTTCTGTACGAATAAATAAATAAATCTTTTAAAAAAAAAAAAAAAAGAACACTAATATTCCTCAAACTCATGTAAAGAACTAGAGAGCATTTCAAACTCATTCTAGAAGGCCAGCATTATTCCAGATAAAAATTCTAAAAGAAAACTATAGACCACTGTCCAAATGGTGCTAGGAAAATAGACCACCACATGCAAACAAGTAAAACCAGACTATTACCTCACACCATGCACAAAAATCAACTCAAGAATACAAGGAATTAAACAAGATACAAGAATTAAACATAAGACCAGAAACCATAAAATATATTCAAGAAAATATAGGCAAAACACTACATAACATATCTAGCAACATTTTTTAAGACTCATCCCCCAAAAGCAAAGAAAGTGAAGGAAAAGATAAACAGCTGGGATTACAACGAACTAAAAAGTTTCTGTATAGCAAAAGAGAATAAAATATTTAGAAGTAAGTTTAACCAAAGGATTTATGCACTAAAAACTACAAAACATTACTAAAACAAATCAAGATACAAATGGAAACCTGTTCATGTTCGGGAATTTAAAAACAATTTTGCAATGTTCAAACTTACCTAAGTGATCTATAGATTCAATACAATCCCTATAAAAATCTTAATGACCTTTTTTGCATAAGTAGGGGAGAAGTCCTAAAACTGATATGGAAGCTCAAAAAACCACAGAGATTTTAAAGAACAAAGTTAGGGAGCCTCACACTTCCTAATTTCAACATACTACAAATCAACAGTAATCATCGCAGTATAGTATTAGCATTAAGACAAACATAAGACCTAGAAAGCTTAAAATGTGTTTTAGAAGAAAACACAAGTGGATAGTTTCAGGATAATGAGCTTGGCAATGATTTCTTGGGTAGGACACCAATGCCAGGTAACAAAAGCAAAAGCCAATAAATAGGACTACATCAAACTTTAAAGCTGTGTATCAAAGGAATCAGCAGAATAAAAAAGTCATCAGAATGAGAGAAAACACTTACAAATCATATAGTTTGTAAGGGGTTGTTAACATGCAGAATATGTAAGAAATTCCTATAAAACGACAAAACTGACCTGCGCAAAGAATAGACATTTCTCCAAAGATGACAGACTTAAGGCGAACAGACAACAAATGTTCAACATCATTAACTATTAGAAAAATGCAAACTAAAACCCATTAAGTATCATCCCACACCCATTAAGATAACCAATATTAAAAGAACAGAAAACAATGATTATGCAGAGAAATTACAAAAGTGGTTTACTACTGCTGAGAATGTTAAATGCTGAATGTTTAAGTAAATTTCTCTGAAAATTCAAAGTAGAAGTAGCAAATGATCCCTCAAAATTTTCAATCTGGATATATAAAAGAATTCAAAGCAAGATCCTAAAGAGATCAGTGCATGCCCAGGCTCATTGCAGTGTTATTCACAATAGCCAAGAGGTAGACACAACTCAAATGACCACTGACAAATGAAAGGATAAAGAAAATGTGTACATACACATAAAAAAACATTTAACAGCAGTATGTATCCGGTCATATGATACAACATGAATGAACAAAGGACATTATACTAAGTGAAATAAGCCAGCAAGAAAGTAACAAATACCAAATGACTCCACTCATAAAAGTTATTTAAGTAATCAAAAATCAAAGATGAAAATAGAAAGATGACTAGCAAGCTCCAGAGGTGGGAGAAAAGAATTAATGTTTAATGGAGATAAAATTTCAGTTTTACAAGAATATGTGCTAGACATCTATTGCACAAGTATGTGAATATTCCTAACCTGTTGAATTATTAATATGGTGAATGTGTTATTAGAACTATAACTAAAAATATTTAACGTCTCAAAAATATATGTGGGGCTCTTTACAGTTCTCCAAACAAAAGCAAAATACTGCCCTTTTATTCTCTATACCTTCATACATTAATAACCCTTTTGTATTAAAGAGAAGTACATCTCCCACTGCTACAAAATGATGCATCTTTCTTACTGACCTCAGAATCGGCACCCTAGATAACATTTTAGAACAGATTAGAAACCAGTAACGATGACTTACTGATATTTGCAAAAGGACAGAGAGAAAACTTGTGGGAAAGGAAATATAGCCTCTATACAACACTAAAACTCATGAAGCAACAATCAATATTGCAGGGCACACCCTGCCCCCAATTTCATAGATACAGATAAACAGGAAAATCCAGAGAAGGCACTGAGAAAAGGCTGATGTAAAATACATTTAAAAGAAAGTGAGAGGGACCCGTTGGTGGCGCCACAAGTTAAAGCGCAGCACTAAGAAGCTATCCACAGCCACTGCAGCTGGAGGTGGATCCCCAGCCCAGGAGCTGACCCACAAGGCACAGCAGACCTCTCCTGACTCGGTGGCTGCTCCCCTCAGCAGTGTACTTCAGTACATCTGCCTGTTCTGCTCCCCACTGTCTCTGGAGAATTCTCTCACGCCCCCTGCACCTCTGGCCTGTACCCCAGTTCTGTATGCAAAAATAAATCTTTAAAAAAAGAGAGGAAGTCCTTTAAGTTCAGGACAGAAACACAAAAGATCTTTAGCTAGCCTCAGCAGCAGTGACAAGACAGTCTTCCTTAGGAAGATAACATAAGTAATTCCGGTTGGAATAAAGTCATTCACCTTTACCAAAAATAACTTCCCACTACAGACGACAGCCACTAACTAAAGAAAATCAATCATCTCTGTAGACACTGAGAATTGAAAGAACACTTTGCAGAGGACAGGAACTAACAACCTGGGACACTTAATGTAATATAAAATCCAGACCTATAAATCTTTGACAATCACATGTTTAACACATGCAATCCAACAAATACCTCATAGTAACTTAGGGCCTACATTATTTGGCATATGAAAACTTACCTGATGGTGGTGAGGAGAGGAATATGGGAGGATAAACAGCTACTGTCAAAGATTCTGTAACATAACCAAGAAAAATTAAGTATTGTTTCTTGAAAATTTTCTGAAATAACATCAGTGTATTTTTAACAATGCTTCATTCATTGTTTCATGATATGACATAATTATTTTGTTTTTGTTCCTACTTTTCTGAAATATAATTTTTTTAAAAATATATAGGATCTGGTTCTAACAAACCTCAGTAACATATTTAGCAACAGAGGGCCTCCCCGGTGCCACAGTAGGGAGCACAGCACTATGAAGCTATCCACAGCCACTGCACATTGCACAGCCAATGTCTCCTGTGCCACCCGCTACTCCCCTCAGCAGTGTATTTCAGTCAATCTGCCTGTTCTGTCCCCACTCTGTCTCTGGTGAGTCCTCACCCCCTGCACCTTTGACCTGTACCCCAGTTCTTGTATGCATAAATAATTAATCTTAAATAATATATATTTAACTAAAGTAACAAGGAATTTTGTAAAATTAGGTTCTTATTAAGTGTAAAAATAAATTATCTAAATTATATTACTCCACATTTAAAAGTATACATTCAGAAGATTATATTCAGAATTACAGTATCATAAAGGATGTGGTCTGAAAATATATAAGTAATTTAAAAGTATATGCATCCCTCAAGAGTAATTGCCCCATGAGAGATGCTTGTGAATGAATAACAAATTAATTCCACAATCACTTTAGGTAAAACTCTCAAACTGGAGTACTTGCAATTACAAGCAAAATCGGAGATTCTATAAGAAAACAATCACTTTCCTTTGTGGTTACATTAACATTTGCCACATCTTCTTTTACTGGTATTATTGTCTAATTTTGGCTTAATAGTTTATAATGCATGTTTAAATGCATTTCTAGGAAGAAGCTGTGGAAAGATACCAAAGCCAAAGCCTCACATCCAGTACTTTGTATATAAGTATTGTATAGAAGCCCAGTTTTTGCTGTTACAGCTGCCAACCTACAGCCTGGGCTCTACTAGCACTTAGCACTTCTGTATTAAAATTATCTCCCTTCCAAGACAGCAGAAGTCTGATTTCTGTGGGATTCTTTAGTGCTAAAAGGGAAGCATGACATGGATTCCCCCAAGGTAGCTATAGACAGACCTTCCTTACCAATCTCAAGGAAATTTCCAGACCCAAAAATTGGTGTGAAGTCATTAAGTAGGTATCATTGACCTTCAGGAACCTAGATATAGCTAGAAAATAATAGTAACACCAGTGACTTAGAAGAGAGTAGCAATGAACAAAGTTTGAGTTAGTGAGACAGTAGCAACATACTCTTTAGATTCCTCAAGGTATTTCTGACTTTCGAATTTACCTCAGGTTACAATCAGCACATGTGGTCACTACTCTGTTACCAGTAAGAGGAGAAAAGTAAGCAGAAGCGAGGCTCTTTGTATGTTCGGTGAAAGAAATCAAAGGTTTTCTTCCCCTTGGTTTTAAGCACCTTGCATCATAAATGTGAATATCCCTGTAATGGGAGAAGTAATTCTCAGTATTGCCATGTAGAACAGCACTGAAGATAAAGTAGACACTCAAACACTCATTTCATTAAAGAACAGTTAAACAGAACACACCAATTTTCTATATTTAAATTTACAGGCACTGGTATAAAAAGTAAAAATATTAGGAGAAAAAATTACAGCAGGTATATGTAACTGGTGAGTACAAAGACGCAAAGAATGTAATTTTCCAATCTCTCCATGATAAAAGTTAACAAAGACCACCAACAAGGTATAGGGCACATATAACTTTTTTTTTTAATTTCAAGTTTTCTTCTCAAAAGAGTTGTAAAAGCATGAGGCCAAAGAAAATAAAAGAAAAACAAAGAAAATAAAAACAAGCTTCAACACTTTGACTATTCATTAAATGCAAAAGAATTTTATCTTCCATTCTTTTATTTTTTAAGTGTTTTCTAAAATACAAGCATGTTGGATGCTGTTGGCAACAAAATATTTGAATAAGAAAGAATCTCATTTTATAAAAATAAATAAATAAAAGGTCATATAAAATTTTATAAAGAGGCCTCCCTGGTGGCCTAGGGCTCAAATCTCAGTGCTATCACCACTGTGGCCAGAGTTCAATCACTGGCTAGAGAGTTAATCCACATATGACACAGCAGACCTCTCCCGTCCCACCTGCTGCTCACCGGTCTGGGAGGCAACCCACATAGTACAGCAGGTATCTCCTGTCTCACTACCCTCAGCAGTGTATTTCAGTCAATCTGCCCATTCTGTCCCCCACTCTGTCTGAGGTAAAACCTCTTACTCCCTCACGCCTCTGGTCTGTACCCCAGTTTTTGTATGCATAAATAAATCTTTTTAAAAATAATAAATATGGGGATTACAACTGAGATGGAAAAATGCACAAAAATAAACTATTGTATCATTTTAAAAATAATAAATAAAATTACATAAAGAACATACCTCAGTCCTGCCGTCATGAAATATTGTCTATGTACTGGGTGAACATGAACAGTTCTTATTTTACTCATAGAAGAGTTAAGTTTCTCATAAGATGTGTCAGGTGCCCGTCTATCCACCAGTGACATACTTCCATCCCAGTGTCCTACTATTAAAGAGTAGGCATTTTCTGACAAGAAGTCAAAGGAGGAAAAACTACTTCTTTCATCTCTATATACCTAAAGACATAAGCAACAATGTAGAGTATAACTCTTAGAGAAGGCCAAAACATACAGAAAGGCAATATAAAACACTATCCAAATAAGGTCATTGACCCTCTCATCGTTCCCACAGGAAGCACAAGGCAAGATGATCACTCCCTGTTACCACAGGTGGAAAATAAGGTACTGATCAGCTGTCTCTCCTATTATCAAGTAGCCCATCTACCCATGTCAGGGCTATCTCCCAAATTTCTCAAATCAAAAAAATTCAGACCTACCCATGAAACCTGATTGGGGGTATACTGAATGTAAATTCTACCCAATTGAAACACCTTTAATATACCAAGTAACTGCTGAGTCCAAGATTCATGGTTGAATGCTGACCTATTGTGGCAGAAGTGTAAATAGGTACAAATTTTTGAAAGCTCATCAAAATACATCTATTAAAATACTTCATGATTATACTCTTTGAATAATTTCACTATATATGTGTATATATATATATATACACATGTGCATATATATATATATATATATATATATCACAATATTTGCTACAAGATTACTTAAAATGATAAGAAGCAACCTAAATATCCAACAAGAGAGAACTAGTTAAATAACTGGTGGGTACATCTCTACTTTGAAATATCATGTAATTCTAAATAACTACATTTTGATGATAGATCTGTATTACCATCAAAAATAGATTATTTAGTGAGCAAGCAAGTTGCTAGAAAAGTGTGTATGTAGTTTGAATTCAATAGTGCAAAAGAAAAATCTACAAGCTTTTATGTATACTTTCTGGAAGTAAACCCCAAAAATAAAACATTTCTTCCAAAGAATGGGATGTGGAACAGTAGATTTACTTTGCATACTCTATCGAAAATATTTTATAAGAAATATGTATAATTATAACTTTATTCACATATAATCTACAATACTACTATTTTGGTTCAGGGCTTACGCACATAATAAAAAATAAATGGTTCGACCAAGTAAGAGAATGACCACAAATTTACTGAAATTTGAAATGTTGGTAATTTTTAGGTTTAATGGCTATAAACTGAGATTAACAAATTAATATGCCAAATATATCCCAACCCTACACACCCAAAAAAACTCAATATATACTAATGAAACTTGAGGTACTAAAATGGTTAAGTGGAGGGGCTTTGGATACACATGCAAATCCTTGTTCTGCCTTAAATATCCTTATGCAAGTTTACTTCAGTTCTTTCATCTGTTAAAAGGGAGTAACATTATCTATTTCATAGTTTTATAAGGCTTAATTACACAAATAAAGAGCACATAAATTAATGCATAAACATAAGGTACTTGTTCAACTAATATTATCAAAAATAAATTGCTGAGGCAGGCTCTCCATGGTAGTGCAACGGGTTAAAGCACATTATGGAGCTCTCTGAAGCCACTGCAGCATGAGTTCAATCCCCTGCCAGGGAAGTGACCCCTGCCAGCGCAGCAGACCTCTCCTGTCCTGTCCTGTCCTGCCCGCTGCTCCCCTCAGCAGTATACTTCCTCAATCTGCCTGTTCTGCTCCCCACTCAGTCTCTGGTTAATCCTCTCACAGCCCCTGCACCTCTGGCCTGTACCCATAAATAAATAAATCTTCAAAATAAATAAAAGTGGATGGGTGTATACTTCTTGCCAAAGTACAATTAAATGAACTCCAGTGGCAGTTTTTCATTCCAACTTATCCAGATAAAAATAGCTGAACTACAGAAAAATAAGCCAGAATGAAAAAGAAAAATATCAGATCATTTTGCTCACAGGGGGAATTTAGGAGATCCAAATAAGGACTTGGGGGGAGGGGAAGAGTAATTAAAATAAAGTAAAAATCAAAATTAACAGGCAACTATAAACCACAGAGATTCTTGGCAAGAAGAAGAAAATTGGATCAAAACAGTCGTACAAAGAGCACAAGGGACTACAGTGATGGTACATGGATGAAATGGTGGTGGGAATTTCTTGAGGGTTACCCCCAAGATGATAAAGAATACAGTGTATAAAAATGAAGAATTTTTACAGTGTAAAAATATAAAATAAAAAACGTACACCTGAGCTAACCTCTTTACCATCAGATATACATATAGCATGATAAATCTTACCTGAAAGTTAGTGAAAATCTAATTTTGTAGTTTGTGTTATATTACAAACCAAAGGTTTTAGGTATCTGTAACAGTACTATTATGATAAATTTGACTTCAGTCCTTCTGTCATGTCTAAGACTCATCCCTACAAAACTGACATCTGAAAAGCCCAGGAATAATGAGCAAGAATATTCAATTTTTTTCCCTTGAATGAAAAAAGAATTAAATCTTAAGTCTAAAAGGAAAAACATTATTTTAGAGCTTTTTGCAAAACTAAATAGGAGCATACACTTTGTATTAAACAATTCTAAGTACATTAACTCATTTAATCCTCATGACAACCCCATGAGGTAGACACTTTCCCATTTTCACAACTAAGAAAGTGAGACAGACATTACATAACTTACCAAGGTCCCAGATGGTCCGGGATTTGAACTTAGGTAGTATAGTTCTAAAGTCCCTAGGCTGTACCACCTACCAGGTAGAACAATTATGCTTGCAGCTTAAAAAACCCAGGATATCATCTAAGGTCGGCATATAAATACATTAAGATTTACCTCTTCAAAAACTGCCCTGGAAAAATCCCCACAGCGTAAGGTGCCATCATAGCTCAGTGACAGTATGTGAGCTGGATTGGCAGGTGAGAAGTAAAGACAACTAACTGGCTGAGTATGGGGTTGAAAAACATAAACCCCAACTTCTTTAGGTTGCTGAGTCTGAAAAAGATTTGGGGAAGAAAACAAAATAGTGAAAATTAATATTTTCTATACCAATGAATCATTAAATTGCACCTGTATTATTCACTTTCTTCTTAGTCTATAAATATACTCACCTTCCCATTAGGAAAGTTGAAACTTAAAATTACACTCGGCCTTCCTCGTGGCACAGGGGTTAAAAACTCAGCACTATCAAGCTTTCACCAGCCCCTGCAGCTTGAGTTGATCCCCAGCCTGGGAGCTGACCCACATGGCACAGCAGACCTCTCCTGTCTTAACCACTCCTCCTCTTAGCCATGTATTTTAATACATCTGCCTGTTCTGCTCCCCATTCTGTCTCTGGGGAACCCTCTCACCCCACCCCTACCCCGCCTCTGGCCTCCACCCCAGTTTTTGTTCACATTAACAGAACCAAACAAGAAATGATCCAGAGGCTTTGGGTTTGTGACTTATGCCACTATCAAGGAGGTGGATGTAGTCATAAAAGCAAGGCCACACAAAAAGGATGGAAGAACTGTGGAACCAAGGAGGTTTTATCAAGAAGGGTCAAAGACTCGGTGCCTACTGAACTGTGAAAATGACTTTTGTTGGTGGCACTAATGAAGAACATCATCTAAGAAATTATTTTGAAGAAAAAAAAATTTTGATTGTGACAGTGGCAAAAAAAATGCTTTGCTTTGGTGACCTGTGATGACCATAAATTTGTAGGCAAGACTGTCACTCAAATAGCACATCATTTGTGACAGAACGAGAGAGGCTAATGCTGAATAAAATAAGTCAGAAGGAGAAAGACAAATATGAGTCTCACTCATATGTGGAATATAGAGAAACAAAACAAAGGGTCAGTCAAAACCAAACCAGTAAAAAGCTTTTAACATCTGACTGCAAAACTAAGGCAACCAAAGGTTAAAGATTATGGGGTGGAAGTGAAGGATCATGGAACATAGGGGAGGATTGTGGGGCACTGGTGGTGGGCAGGGGGTGAAAGTATACATTTACTGAGGTTTAAAAGTATAGATTTACCTATGACCCCTGGAGCAAATGCAAAGATGTAAATCCATTTTAACTCAGTAAGCAGTGTGGTGTTGGGGGGGGAGGGAGGGAATACCATATTGTGAGTATTGTACAACTGTACAATAAGAAAAACCCTATCTAAGCCAAGAAATGGCCAGTGCTTTATACAAAAAGATTAAAGTATATCAATAAACTGACAATGATGGTAAAGGTGGTTTTGTTAGGACTGAATTTTGGTTGTGGCAGAAACTTCAGTGGTATAAGTGGCTGTGTGGTGGCAGCGTGTGGTATTAGACATTGTGGCAATGGAGATGGCTTTAATGAACTTGGTAACGAAAGAAACAATTTTGGAAGAGGCAGAATTTACAATGATTTTGGCAATTGCAACAATCAATTATTCAAATTTTGGGCCTACAAAGGAAGAAACTTTAGAGCAGAAGCCCCTTTGGGGGTAGAGGCCAATATTTTACCAAACCATGAAACTAAGGTGGCTATGGTGATACCAGTAGCAGCAGTAGCTATGGCAGTGGCAGAAGGTTTTAATTAACTGGCAGGGAACAAAGCTTAGCCGAAGAGTAGAGACAGAGAAATGACAGGGAAACGAAAGCTTACAAAAGATTTGTAAACTAAGCCCAGCAAAGGTGACAGGGCCCAGCTGCTACAAAGACATGTTGTAGACAATACTCATGTATATGGCAAAAAAATTCAAAGTCTGTTTGTAACTTATTGTATAATAGATTGTTTTAGTTTCTGTTCAATGGAAAGTAGAAAGCATTCCAACTAAATGTTTTAATGTAATTTTTACATTTAAACCCTGTTAATTAAAAAACATGTTTTAAACTTATGAACACATCATGAAAATACACATTTAAATTTCTACATTGATGATACTACTTCTAAGGATTATCCTTTCCACAACTAGATTACCAATTTTTAAGTCATCACTTTTCAGATTTGGGGAAGTTAAACCCATATGCCACATGTTATTATTAATGAAAATAACTATCACCTCCAAATCTGTTCTAGTTCTGAAATACTTCAAAACTTCTGTTTTATTTTCAAATTTTAAAATAAACTGAAGTTTTTTAAAGGAAAAAATAAGAAAATAAGGAAAAAACTTACAATTACATACATTCCTCCTACCTACAATTAACCATCTTGACATATTTAGTGTTTATATTTTTAGAAAAATAAAACTCTCCTATTGTTATAAGGACTCAAATATACAAAGAAATATATAAAGACAACAGCTTTTTAAAGTCATTCCAGATTCCAAAGTACCATTAAATCATTACAGGGCCCTCCCTGGTGACGAGTGGGTTAAAGCACAGCACTAAGAAGCTAAAGCCACTTCAGCATGAGTTCAATCCCTGCTCTGGAGGTGATCCATATGGTGCAGCAGATCTCTCCTAACCTGCCCACTGCTCCCCTCAGCAGTGAACTTCATCAGTTGCCTGCTCTGTTCCCCACTCTGTCTCTGGTGAGTCCTCTCATCGCCTCTGCACCTCTGGCCTATACCCCAGTTTTGTATGCATAAATAATATTTTTTAAAAGTTGATCATTGCAGCTTTTTTATATACCTGCATACTTACAATGACAAAATTTAGAAAAAATAAGAATGCTGAACATGCCATTATTTTATAGTTTTTAATCCATACATCAGGCTGAAAGAATTTTGGAACGTTACGTATTTCTTTACAAGAGAAAATAAAAGATACTATATTCTAAAAAAGACTATCTTCTAGATTTATTTTAGTCACTATGCTGTCTCTGATGAATCCTCTCAATAACCCCCCCCCCACACACACACACACACACACACACACCTCGGCCTACACCCAGCTCTTGTATGAATAATAATAATTTTTTTTTTTAAAGATTTATTTATTTATTCATACAGAACTGGGGTACAGGCCAGAGGCTCAGGGGCGGTGAGAGGCTTCACCAGAGACAGAGTGGGGAACAGAACAGGCAGATCGACGAAGTACACTGCTGAGGGGAGCAGCGGGCGGGTCAGGAGAGGTCTGGCTCGCCATGTGGTCTCCTCCGGGGCAGGCGGCAGGCGGGAATCGAACTCATGCGGAAGTGGCTTCAGATTCTCAGTGCTGTGCTTTAACCCGCTGCGCCACCAGGGAGGGCCAATAATAATTTTTTAAGTGTTTGAAATCTAAATACCAATCAAGTGATAAATGGATAAACATGGTACAAAGGAATTCAGCAATAATAAAAAAAAAAAAACTAGTGCTTGCTTCAGCAGCACATATACTAAAATTGGAACAATACAGAGAAGATTAGCACAGCCCCTATACAAGGATGACACGCAAATTCATGAAGCATTCCATATTTTTAAGGGAAATGCACATTAAAACCACAATGAGATACCATCCCACCCCAGGGAGAATGGCACATATTAAAACAACTAGCAACAATAGATGTTGGTGAGGTGAGGATGTGGAGAAAAAGGAACTCTCCTCTGCTGGTGGGAATGCAATCTAGTACAACCACTATGGAAAGCTGTTTGGAGGTTTCTCAAATTGCTAAAAATGGAGCTTCCATATGACCCATCAGTCCCTCTCCCAGGTATCTACCCAAAGGACACAAAAACATGGATTCAAAAGGACATCTGCACCCCCATGTTTACTGCTGCTGTTTACAATAGGAAAATGTAGAATCAACCCAAATGCCCAAAAATAGATGACTAGATTAAGAAAATGTGATACATATACACAATGGAATATTACTCAGCAATCAAAAAAAGATAAACTCATGCCTTTTGCAGCAACATGGATGGACCTGGAAGGGATCATGCTTAGTGAAATAACCCAGAAAGAGAAAGAAAAATACCAGATGGTTTCACTCATAGCAGAAGCATAAGGGATCAGGGAAGGGGAAAAAAAAAAGAGAGACTAACAAATGTAATAGAGTAAAATTGAAAACAATGAACAACTATAAACCAAAGACACTGTGTGAGGGTAGGAGGGGAAATGGGATCAGAACTGGGGTGGTAAGAGTGCACTGGACTGTGGTGATGGCACACAGGTGAATAGGTGATGGGAGGCCCATGGGGATTACAACTGAGATGGAAAAATGCACAAAATGAAGAATGATGTTAATAAATAAATAAAAAATAAAGGGAAAAAAACCCTAAATACTGATACATGTTATAATATATGACTCCTAAAAACCTGATGTTAAAAAGAAGATAGAAGACCATGTTATATGATTCTGAAATGAAATGACCAAAAAGGGCAAATTTATGGAGATTTGCCTGGGAACAAGGAAAGAAATGGGGGGTTAATGTATATAGGCAGGAGAAATCTTAAAGGAATGGTAAAAAGTTTCAACCCAGTAAACATTAGAAATCATTGAACTGGTCATTGAAAGTGTGTCCACTTTATGATGAAAATATCTGAAGATTTTATTTAACAAAAATTCAAGATTTTATCCATTTCTTCTGCCATCCCACTTTTTTAATTGTATTTATTTTTGCATAGAAGAACTAGAGTATAAGCCAGAGGTATGAGAGGTAAGAGAACTCACCAAAGACAGACTGGAGAGCAGAACAGGCAAATTTACTAATACACTGCTATGGGGAACAGCCCGCGAGACAGGAGAGGTCTGCTGTGGGTTAGCTCCCTGCCAGGGACAGAAACTAGGCAATCTCAGTGATAGCCCTGAGACGTTACCCTTAGGTCACCAGGGTGCCCCCACTTTTTTTAATCTCCTAAAGTTTGTTTATCACCTACCCAAATGTTAAAACTGGGCCCTTCCTGGTGGCACAATGGGTTAAAGCATAGCACTGCAAGCTAACAGCAGTCACTTCGCTTCAAGTTCAATCCCCAGCCCCAGAGATGACCCACATGGCGCAGCTGACCTCTCCTATCTCACTCACTGCTCCCCTCAGCAGTGTACTTCATTGATCTTCCAGTTCTGTTCCCCACTCTGTTTCTGGTGAGTCCTCTCACTCACCCTGCACTTCTGGCCTTTACCCCAGTTCTGTATGCATAAATAAATAAATCTTTGAAAAAAAAAAAACAAAAACTACTTTCTCAACCCACCAATGTTGAAACAATTCCTTATTCCTATTTTCAAAACTACATTCTTTTCTATATTCCCATTCTTTTTAACTTTTCTGCACGAAGCCCTCTCAAATTCCATCTTTAAAACTCATATAACTAACTTGTGACTTTATACTATTCCTGTCGTCCTTCCATTTCTCTCATTGTTTTCTTCACTAAATCCTTTAGCCTAACCTCACTCACATTTTATCAAAATGAAAGTAAATATATGCTCCCAAAGTGAAAGAGAATGTAATTTTTATTTTTCTCTTCTTTTTAATTACAAAATCTATTTACCCCTGTTGTTTCTTCAGCTTCATTCATTAATCTCATGGTATGTTTCAAATCTTTGTTCTACTTCAATTAGAAAATAAATTCAAAGAACAGTAACTTGGCTTTTCTCAATTCAGAACTAAATATACAATGAATGAACTTCTATCATGTGTTTCTGACTCATCAAAAATGACTGGGATTATCCTAAGCAGTTCCCTGAGAAGATATTTTGATCTAGCTTGGAAATTGCATTTTAAACAAAATTAGAAAATGAAGAACATTATGTGATCCTTCCGTATATACATTTAAAGTTATAACAAAGTTTCTTGGCAGTTAACTTACCCCAGATGACTAAGGATATTCAAATTAAAAAAGCTAAAGTTCTATAACACAAATTTAAATTCATCCAGATTTCTAAAATTTTATGTCACAAAAGTACAAATCTATAAATTTCAAGTAACACAAACACACACCTGGCTCTAGACTTTTTGCTTAAAGTTTTTTTTAATATCTTCCAAAAAGTAATTATAACTTACCAAATCCCAAAGTCCAATTTGCCCAAATTTTGCTCCAGCAGCCACTAAAGTTCTATTTTCTGATGGATGGAGAGCCAAAGAGAATATTGGGCCTTTGACTATTTTACAAACAGAATCTTCACTTATGACCATGTCATTTAAGTTGGCTTTGTAGCTGAGAAAAATTAAGTTACATTTTAGCGTAAAACTAAACAGTCAAAATAAATACAAGATGATTCATTAAAGAAAAATCACAAGTAGGTATTTGAGTAAAATAGTCATCCTCCTGATAATTAAGAAAAATCAAATTAAACAATGGAATACTATTTTTCACTTATAAGGCTAGTGGAAAACTGTTAAACATACAAATTGTTGTATACTGTTACCATCAAAGTAAGTTTATGTAAGACATTTTCAGAGGGAAAGGAAAAGATTTTTAAAACAGTGTGGCAAGGTATACTAAAAGTCATGAAAATATCCATAACATTTAACTCATTAATATCATTTCCAGGAATCTAAGAAAATTCACTATCACACTTTCAGCAAATACACCAAGCTCAATACTCCAAAAATACTCCAAATAAGGCAATAAGAGGGGTAAGTAAATTCTACCTACTCAATGATTATATAATTATTCAATAAAATATAAAAACGCTTGAAACATACAACCATAATATTAATGAGGAAAGCATAATGCAAATTGCATGTAATAATTTAAAAGACATGAGGATTCATATATTTGTACTATAAAGTTGAATGAATCTATTATCATGTGTCAGACACTGTTCTGATTATACAGATAAAACATCTATATAAAAGGAAATAAAAACGAAGTTGTTAGGTAAAAGTACTATGGTAATTTTTTACCTCATTTTCAAAATTAGTTTTAATAGCATATAGTCCATAACCTAGAGATCTCAGAAAGTGTAAAACAAAGGTAGGTCTCCCTTGTGGCGCAGGGAGTAAGTCTCAGGGCTATCAAGCCATCATCAGCCACTGCAGCATGACTTCTGGGCAGGCTGAGAGCTGACACACTTGGAGCAGCAGACCTTTCCTCCTCAATAGCTACTCCCCTCAACAGTGTATTTCAGTAGAGCTGCCTGTTCTGCGCCCCACTTGGTCTCAGGTAAATCCTCTCACCCCTCCCACACCTCTGGTCTACGGCCCAGTTTATATAAATTGATCCCAATATATATAAACAAAGCCAAGGAATTTAACTCACCTTTTAATGTTGGATAACTCCTTTTTGGTATTGTTCCTATTTGTCTGAAACAATGGGAGAGACCAAAGTACTAAGTTAATACACATATTAGTTACATAACAGATGAGTCTAAAAACTGTAAGCCAGCCTCAATAATACCTTATTCACTTTTGCCCATATTTGTAGAAAGCCTTTAAAAAGTTCAGTGTTATCATCTTCACTTTCAGGAGTCATTTCTAAAGGCCCAGAAGGTAATAAAGGCTGCTTTAAAAAAAAAAAAAAAAAAAATTAATTGTTACCCTGCCCTGAATATAAAGGTTGAGGTTTTTCAATACTTTACTTTTAACACAAACAGGATTGACAGTCTTACATTCCAAAAATAGCTGTTCAATGAATGAATACAAGGTATGAAAATAACATTAAGTATCTCATTTAACACTCTCAACAACCTAATAAATTATATAATACATTTTAAAGACACTAAATTAAAGGTACATAATTAACTTGTCCAAAGATATACTTTCAATACTGTAGTTACTAAGAACTGAATCAAGTAATGATGGAGGATAGGAATAGAAAAGCTGGAGGGGATGCTACATGGTCAAAACCTTTTCACACAAGGAGGTAGGGGTAGAAGGGATTAAATTAAGTCATTAATCAAGTTATGAAACCAAGACCCTTAGGCTTCAATGCCCAGATTAGGAGGCACAACACAGACAGGTGTCAAACTGTCTTTAGGGACTGTCACCTGAAGGTGAAGATATGGGGATTAAGAAACAAACCACCCGGCCCTCCCTGGTGGCGCAGCGGGTTAAAGCACAGCACTAAGAAGCTTAAGCCACTTCAGCATGAGTTCGATCCCCGCCTGCCCTGGAGGAGATC